ACTTCATACAGATGCAAGTGCAAGTAACTCCAGCAACTCACAAGACGGGGTACTACTGCATCCATGAACACAGACTCTCTAAAATCTAAACTGCATGTTACTGCCTCTGGCTCTTTCAGGCCAGAGAAGATTTTGCTTTGTTTTGTTGCGTCTTGGTTGATGTCGTTTGATTCATTCTTCCTTCGTTGAAAATGAGGAAAGATAGAAGACACAACATAAACCTTCCCCACAAGGAGCTGGGTCAGAAAGGGATGACGGACTGTGCAATGAAACTCCACGGACATTAAAGATCGTTTTCTTTTTAGACTAATCACATGGAAAGAGACAGTGATAAGGCAAGATATGAAATAGTATCTAAGATATGATACACACAGAGATGAGGGGTCTTCAAAAAGTTCATGGAAAATTAACATTATTTTTAAAATTTTATAGATTTCCAAAAAAATTATTTGAGCCCACAGAAACTCATTCTAACTTGTTCTATAACATGTTCGAGCAGGATCTAATCTGAGGCAGTTAGAAGGACGAGACATGGTAAGAAAAGAGGTTAAAATAGCAGGATTGTGTAGGACCCGGCAGTGTTCTGTCCTGTCATACACAGGGCTCTATCAACCAGAGGCCACTGGATGGCATCTCATGACAAAAATACCCAGAAACATTATGTCTACAGAGTCCATGTATGAAGACAACGATGGAATTTAACCTGTGATATGTTTCCATTTAACAACTGTTAAGGATTTAATTATATCCCCACCAAATATACATATGGAAAATCTTAAACCTTATGCCTGTAAGTATAATCCTATTTGGAAAAAAAAAGAAAGAAAAGAGGTCTCATCAGAGCAACATGAGTGCTGCTAAAATTCAAGCAAGAACAAATATCAAATTTATGGTGAAGCTTGGGTGAAAGAATGGTGAGACCACTCATGCTGTATGAAAAGATGATGGGGACAATGCTACAAAGAAGCCAGCAGTTTAGAAATGGGTAAATTACGTATATACTTTAAGAGAGGATGAGAGATGTTGAAGCCAACAGCAGCAGAGAGCCCCCATCAGTTTGTAAGGAAACAATCTTCTCCAGGCTCTGACTGAAGAGGACCAGTGATTACGAGGAGAAATGTCTCAATCAGTGCAGCGTCGATAATTCTGCCAGGAAAACCGAAGTGGAGAACACTCTGCTCAATAGTGCCCAAATGTTCTACCCAGATCAGCACAGCTAGTCAGGGAGCTCTGACGTCAGTGGGGTGAGGGTCTTAAAGCATTTCTTGGACGAATTGTAGGAAGACATGAAACATCACTTTCCCAGTATGATTCTAAAGACAAAGCACAAACAAGGCGAGAGGCTACCAGGCGGCAGAAGTGGTCCAGTGAAGGTAAGAGGGGCAGGTCAAGAGCAAAAGCTAGGGCAGCAGTCCTTGGGATGCTTGGGCATTCTGCTTGTTGACTTTCTGAGTGTTTTGAGAAAGTTACTTAAAATTTTAGCTAAAAAGTACCAGGGAAAACTTCATCAGAGTTCCATCTCTTTTCTCTCACCAAACAAGGACAATTTTGCAGAGTTTCCATGGGAAATCATTAGGTATTCACTGACAATCCTGATCCTGACTTCTTTTGTTTCTTTTAAAAAAAACCTCTTTTCCTTCAGTTGATAATATAAAAGTCACTTCATTAGCGTGGTTAAATTCCAGGTTCTTTATGGATGGACCACAAAATGGCTGGTATCATCACTTCCAAACTTGTCTTGTCCATGATAGAGATTATGTTAATAAAGAAACGTTTCTATTTTCACTTTCTAATTTCATTTTCCTGAGAACTTTGTGAAGTCTCTTCACATAAAGAAAAGGCTTGAAGGTAAACAACAAAGTGTATCTCTAGACCAGTGGTTCTGAACCTGTGGGTTGCGAACCTTTTTACAGGGGTCGTCTGATTCATAACAGTAGCAAATTACAGTGATGAAATAGCAACGAAAATAATTTTATGGTTGGGGGGGTCACCACCACACGAGGAACTGTATTAAAGGGTCACGGCATTAGGAAGGTTGAGAACCACTGCGCTAGACGATGATGTAATATGAGTTAATTTTCTTTTCTTTTTCAGATTTGTCTGTATTTCCAGACTTTCCACAATCAAATTGGGCACATGCTTTTTAAAAAATTAGAATCAAACAGTATTTTGTTGAGATATTCCCAGAGAAAGCAAGGTGCAGGAGAAGGCGCCATTTAGCTTTATAAGCATTTTGAGATGCTCAGTTTCCTTCCAAATAAAGCAAGATGAATTCTGTGTGCTGTCAAAGTCAACCCCAACAAGAGTGTCCCCTTGAGTTTTCAATGGCACAGTTTCCCAGAGGGGGGTCGCCAGGCCTTTCCTCCACGGTGCCTCTGAGTACTCTGGATCTTCCAACCTTTTAGTTAAGCAGTCAAGTGTATTCAACATTTGCTCCCCCCAGGAACTCACAAGGTGGTGTTGTTGGTAGGTGCCAATCAAATTGGTTCCAACTCATAGTGACCCTGTGCACGAGATGGAAACACGGCCCAGTCCTGTGCCGTCCTCACAGTCGTTCCCAGGTTGGAGCCCACTGTTGCAGCCGTGTCTGCTCATCTTGTTTGTGGAGGGCCTTCCTCTCTTGCACTGCCCCTCTACTTTACCAAAAGAGGGGAAGCCTATCCAATACTCAATGGGTTTTGAGGCTTAGGTTAAATATTACATGTAAAATCACCCTGATAAGTTGGAGATATACAATTTAAAAAAATCATTTTATTGGGGGCTCATACAACTCCATACATACATCCATTGTGTCGAGCACATTTGTACATTTGTTGCCATCATTATGCTCAAAACATTTTCTTTCTACTTGAGCCCTTGGTATCAGCTCATTTTTCCCCCTCTCTTCCCGACCCCTCTCCCTCATGAACCCTTGATGATTTATAAATTATTATTATTTTGTCAGGTCTTACACTGTCACTATCTCACTTCACCCACTTTTCTGTTCTGTCCCCCAGGGAGGGAGTTATATGTAGATCCTTCAAATTGGTTCCCCCTTTCTAGCCCACCTTCCCTCCACCCTCCCGGTATTGCCTCTTTCACCACTGGCCCTGAAGGGATCGTCTATCCTGGATTCCCTGTGATTCCAGTTCCTATCTGTACCAGTGTACATCCATCTTCTGGTCTAGCTGGATTTGTAAGGTAAAATTGGGATCATGGAGGTAGCATTTAGGAACTACAGGAAAGTTTTATGTTTCATCGTTGCTACACTGCACCGACTGGCGCATCTCCTCCCGGCGACCCTTCTGTAAGGGGATATCCAGATGCCTACAGAAGGGCTTTGGGCCTCCACTCCGTACTCCCCCTCATTCACAATGGTATACTTTTTTGTCCTTTGATGCTTGATACTTGATCTCATCCATACCTCATGATCACACAGGCTGGTGTGCTTCTTCCACGTGGGCTTTGTTGCTTCTGAGATAGATGGCCGCTTGTTTACCTTCAAGCCTTTAAGACCCCAGATGCTATATCTTTTGATTGCCAGGCACCATCAGTTTTCTTCACCAGAAATTTTTTTAAATGAGGCTTTCTGTTCCCACAAAGAGTTATAGCCTTAGAAACCCAAAGGGGCAGTTCGACGCTGCTCTGAGGGTTGCTGTGAGTCAGAAGGGTCTCAATGGCTGTGAGGGTTCTGTTTGTTTGCTGTGCCAGATTACTAAGATAAAGTTCAAGCTGATTTCTTCATCTATCGTATAAATATAGTCACTGTGACGTTATACAACAGGACAGGTTCGATTGCAGAGACACAGGTCTGTTTTGCTCTTTACCCCAGTCTATTCAGAAGTTTTATACATAATATGGGTGGTGAAAGACTGAGTCTCTGTGGGGAATAAGTACCAAGAGATAATCAAAGGCCCAGAAATGCCTGTTTCACCCAGAGAAAACAGATACAATTTAAAAATTGATGTCACAGGATATACAATTCACAATTTTTAAGATATACCATTACTATGTCCCCCTGCTCTCATACCGTGCCCCCATCTTTGTATCTCAAACTTGGGCCAAAAATATACATGTGTATATGTAGAACAATTTTTCATAAGGGATTCTAGTAACATTTTCTTTTAAAGTTAGGGTTTTAGCCTTCCTTTGAAGACTGGATTGACTAATCAAGAGACTTGGTATGTTATCTGATGATTCTTCACACAAAAACATTTCTTTTGGCCAACCAGACCAACACTGGCTTGAACAATTTTGCATTAGTTCCCCTACCTTTGAAATGAAAAAAAGGACTCACTCTTACTAGGTATTTGGTCATTCTCAAACATACCATCTGTGGTGTCACAGAGGGTGAGCTACGGATTCAGATGACCGAAACCGGGGTGGTGTAGAGGTCACCCAATGGTTTGCAGTCTACAAGGTCAGCCGTTTGAAACCACCAGCCATGGCTTTCTACTCTTGTAAAGAGTAATAGTTTTGAAAACCCATCGTCATAGTTCTACCCTGTCCCATAAGGTCGCTATGAGTCAGCATTGACTGGATTGCAGTGAGACAAAACTGGTTGTGTCACTTTGGGTGGCTCAAATAGTGTATTGATTTTTTTATCTGTAATATATATGTACGTATGTGTAAATGTATACACACACACACACACACACACACACACACATATGCCCACACCCTGTAAGCTTGTGGTGAAGACTGAATGAAACAAATCATGTAAAGCACTTAGAACAGTAAATGGCATGTGTTGTTGTTGAGGTCAATGCATAGTGACCTACACCCAGCAGAAACACACTTCCTGGTGCTGCGCCATGCTCACAATCTGGTATGTATTATACGTAACGTGCAGCTCCACCATTAGAACAGCACCCAACGCAGGTACTCAATCAACAGTGTGCAACGGACAAATGAAAGAAGTACTGCCATTTGTTCTGAGATAGAAATCAGGCTGTGCTTTCTACTGGCTCCAAACCCCTGGGCGGGAAGCCTGTACTTGATGGCTGATGGCTGCATTTAGCTCTGGGCACTGCGACATCCCCCCATTGTTTTCCACTTGACTTCCAGATTCACATTGTTTCAAGGAGGCAGACCTGACCCATGCATTGCCTTTCCTCACCATCCCGTCCTCTGCCCTGGCATGCCAAGGACCAACAGCGTTGGAAACAGACTTCTGTCAAGGATGTAATGAAAGCTTAAAAATCTAGGGAGCAGGAAACATGTTACTGTTTTTTTTAGCTTCTGATAATCTGATGGGCCGGCTCTTCTTTTTAAATAGTGTGATTCTCTGAGGAGCTCTAACTCATATGCAAAACAGTCAAGTCTTGTTCTGGCTTAAAGAACTTTGCTTCCATGTGGAACAGAACTGTCCTTAAAGTCATATGTGCTGAAGGTACCGGGTGTCATCAGTGTCACTGGATTGTACACGCAGAAACGTCCGGAGGGGGGTGGTGGTATGCTTGGCTGTGTATATCCTCAATGACAACATAAACTATTCTTTTTTAAATGCATGAGCTGTGCAGTTTTCATACACCTTCAGCGAATTATCTCCACCATTGCTCCTTGCTCACCTGTTAATGGTGTCACATTTAATGAAAGAGAGTGAGATAGTCCTAGGACACGTGTGAGAGGGAGCACAAGGAAGGGTTGATCCCCAGAGCTCAGATCACGGATCCCACACTTGCACGCCATATGTCAGCTTGCATGATTTGTTGAACCTCAGCTTCAGTGCGCTTGCTAATGAGGTAATAATTATACCAACCACCTCGGTTGTGGTGAGGATTGAGAGGGGACAGTTAAAGCACTTAAAGCTCTGAGCACAGTGTATAACCTAAAACCACTCTCGCCCAACTCAGTGTGAGCTGCCAGGGCAGAGTAGACCTGACCGAGCGCACTTCCAAGGTTGTCTTTGTTTGCCGACGCCGACTGCCACATCTTCCGCCTGCAGTGAGCCCACTTGCACAGCGTATGCTGCTAGTAAATATAAGCATTGTTCATTAGCACATGCAGTTCTGCATCTTGCCTGGGACTATTTCTCCCCTCTTTCATGTACTGAGCACCCCACAACACCCGCACAGGCTTCTCTGAGCCCAGTGCTTACCTGCCCAAAGCGATGGTGACGTCATTCTCTGAGACCTGGAGTCCATTAAGGCTGCCCTTGTCCAGTTCTCCCAGCTCCTTCATGCTTTGCTCCGCCTTCTGCAGACTGAAATAGGCCTCCCTGCCAGTGAAGCAGTCAGGGAAATACCAGGCACACACACCTCCAACCCCAAGACCCAGAGACCTCAGCCGATAAGCCAGTGGAGGGGGCCTCTGGGAAAAGAGCAGTCTTCGAAAACAGGTGAGACCCTGGGCTCTCAGCCCCTCAGCTACACCATCAAGACGGCAGCATTCTTTAGAAAAGGCCAGGGCCTAGGGTTTCTGTGGTGGCAGGCCTCAGGAGGAGGGGGCAGAAATGCTAAGTGAAACTCCACTTCCTTTGGATGCGTCTACTGCGTTGACAACAGTTATTCACGTCCCCCAGTCTCGTGCCAATGGAGGGGGTGGGGGGAGGACAGATTCTGGTGAAAGGGGCTTTCTGGGCCATAGAGAACGTCCAAGCCAAAACAGGGGTTGATTCGGAGACTAATAGCAGCAAAGAAAAATCCCCTTAATTTCCAAATCTTTTCCTAGTTCCCCATTTCCTGTGGCCCCTTGCTGAGGAGGTAATGGGCAGAGGGGCAGCAGTGGGCAGTGCAGAGTAGACAGGGCAATGGGAAGAGAGACTGGGGACACGTGGGCCCACAGAGTGCTCCCAGGTCTTTGGGCACACAAAACACCATTACCAGAGTGCCAGAGAGTCCCCAAAGGCTGCCCAGATCACAAGTGTGTGTGCGCGAGGCAGGCGCAGTTGACAGGCCTTCTCTGGGGAGATGTGGGACTCCTGCTTTTAGCTCTTTTCCTGCAGTATTCCCCAGAGCATTTCAAAACAATGAAAACAGTGGTTCCAATTCCAGGAGGCGCTTAAAACAAAGAAATCCCAATGGACACACAAAGCCTTGACCTATTACAGAAAAAAGCTCTGTGGAGGGGCCCAGACCCCAGACCTTCCGAAAGTTTCCCAGGGGGTCACAATGGGCACCCTCTTTGCTGAGCGTGCTTTCGGTGGCCTCTCCCTTCCCGTATTCCTGCCAACCCTAGTTCCACGTGCCCTTACTTCCCTGAAATCTGCGCACAGAGCATTGCTAACACTTCCAACTGGCCGACTAGAGCTGGAGATCCAGGGTGTATCCACGCTGACCCTAGTATGGCTCAACTCGGGGCGGGTCCGAGTGGGTGGGCACAGGGGAAGGTCATACCTTCCTGGGTGAAGGCAAGAGGCCGGCAGGGGCTTGAGACTTGAAACCCACTGACAGGGTTTGGTAAGCGAGCACCCCACTAGGACATAAGGCCCTGACAGTGGACCCCACCCACAGGGGAGGAAAGGATATTGGTTTTGCAGGAGCCAGGCCACTCCAACCGTGTAGTAGAGCATGATCAACGTTTCCATAATTTCTTTTTTCTCCTTGTTCGAGGGCGTGTTGCCCTTCCAGGCCAGCAGCAGGTTCTTGGCTGACTCAGCATGTTTCTTGGCCTGAACTGGGAGGGCTGGGATCGGTGGGGGTTAGGGTAGGAAACAAAGATGAGCGAGACATGATTCCATGCAAAACACTCGCTGGTGGGGCAGCAAGGTGATGACTATACGGTCTGCGGTAAGGGCTCCCAAACCTGCCTGCACATCACAATCATCTGGAAAGAACACAGATCCCTCGGTCCTAAGAAGCTGAAGGACCCCTGATGCCATAGCGGTTCCTCACTGGACTGCAATCTGCAAGGTCAGCAGTTCAAAACCACCAGTCAGCTCCATGGGAGAAGGATGAGATGTTCTATTTCTGTAAAGAGTTACAGTCTCAGAAACTCACCAGAAACTACCCTGCCCTATGGGCTTGCTATGAGTTCAAATAGCCTTGATGGCAACGAGGAAGTTGGAAGCTTAGAGAAATGGGACCTGGGAGGTTTACATATATATATATATAGAGAGAGAGAGAGGCTATATTTTTAACCAACACTACAAGAGACTCTTGTGTAGCCATCCCTTCCCACAGTGGACCTGTGTTTGGAAACCATTGATGGGAAGAGGAAGTTCAGAGGCCCATTCCCAGGTCTGACGGTACCACCAGGGAACTTTTTCCAGGCCCAAAGCTGCTTTCATGCACAGTGACAAGAACAAATGCCCTATAGGACAGAGTAGAACTGCCTCTGTGAGTTTTTGAGACCATAATTCTTTATGGGAGTTGAAAGCCCCATCTTTCTCCCGCAGAGCGGTAGGTAGTTTCAAACTGCCGGCCTTTCAGATTGCAGCCAAACATGTAACCACTATGCCATCAGGGCACCCACCAGGAGCTGACGAGGTGATGCCATAGGGTGCTGTACTTGGAGCTTCCTAGGGAAAGGCATTCTATAAATACAAGCGCTTACGAATGCAATGACTTCCATCTGGAGAGCTCTGCAGTCCAAGATGGAGCTGGTGAGACTAATTGGTCACACACACAGAAAAGAATCCTGTTTCTAAATGCAGGGAGGCCCCTTGCTAAGGAGAGGGATGGAATGCCCAAGCCCAGCTAGGGAGAACTTGTGGGTTTAAGTTTTCTCCCACCCCTCGCTTGTGTTCTAACTAAAAGATTCAAAGGTGGTGGCCCTGGGCACTGTATTGAGTTTCCATTTGTCCATTTAATAGAGGAAGACCCAGGACACTGTTTTTCACAAGATGTAAAAAACAGCTTCCAGCATCACTGTATCTAGTGATCCCTGGGATGGGGAAGGTGAGTGGAGAGATCCACGGAGTTCCCTCCTTCCTCCCAGAAACAGTACAGGCTGTGTGCATGTCCGATTTTCTTCTCTGCAGGCACCCAGGATAGATAAACACCCCCCATACACACACACACCCTAATCCTAATTCCTCCCACCACAACCCTAGCTCCATGGTCCTTTGGCTTTTGAAACTTGGCCTCTCTGCTTGGTGCAAGCGGGCTTATCTTTAAGCCCTGCTGTGTTCCTCATCTGCTGGGCCTTCTTAATGACTTGTAGCCCCAGGAGGGAACAAAGCCTTCTGAGGGAGAGCCGGGACATCCAGAAACAAGGCGTTCTCTGCAGAACACTTGGAGACTTGGGGTCAGCAGGTCCCCACTGGAGAGCCAGAGGGACGTCTCTCCCACAGGTCCTGACAGAACAGTGCTCCGACTGAGTGACCAGAAACACCCTACCTTGCAAGTTGCTGGCCTTGATCTGCATGGTCTAAAGTCACACTCACTGCCTTGGAGTCAATTATGACCCATAGTGACCCTCTAGGACAGGGTGGACCTGTCCCTGGAGGTTTCTGAGACGGTAAGTCTTCACGGGAGTACAGAGTCTCACCTTTGTACTCCGGCTAGTGCTTCAAACCGCTCACCTTGCATTTAGCAGTCCAGTGCAGAACCACTGCACCACCAGGGCTCCTCCTTGACCCAAGGTAGGAGCCCAGATGGCCTGCTGGTCACAAGCACCCTAGCTGATGCTGGTCTGGCACACACGGGAGAAATACTGTTAGTAAAATCTTTGGACAGGAACTGGGGAGCCTTCCTGGTTGCAGGCAGGGGTGAGGAAGCTTTTATCTGCCAAGATATATTTATAACATCGCTTGTGGGACACCCTGGTCAGACATTTAATTAGTTCACCCTTAATATGGGGGCTGGAGCCGCTTCTTTTTGGTGAGGCGTGTGATGCTAGCGCAGAGGAATGATTTTGCAGGCCTTATGTGGCCTGAGGGCCGGACGGATGTTTCTCCAGCCCTGCTCTAGAGCATCGGTCCCCAAACCTTCAGAGCTTTTTAAAGAAAAGTAAAGGGCTCCCCTCCCCCTATCCCCTGACAATGAAAAAAACATTTGTACTGTAGTTCATAACCTAGGGCAAAATGTAGGATCTGCTTTGCGGCACCCGTGCATCATTCCAGCACCCCTCAGTGGGCAGTATTGCCCACTTTGGGAAACATCGGTCTAGAAGAAGGTGGTAGCAATGAGAAAGCTTCCGGAAAACCCGGCCTTGAAGGTCAACAGCCAGTGTTTTTACTTCAGCCATGGAGTGCATTCGACTTAGACAGGGAGGAACCGCCCCCGTGGGCTTTCCAGACTGCAACTCACCCTTCTCCCGAAAGAAGGCAACTCAGGGTCTTTTTATTGAAGAGGTTGTTTTCTGCAACCAGGTGGCCCCCCCTCCCCTTGAACCCTTGATAATTTATAGATTATTATTATTTTATCGTATCTTACCCCATTCAACGTCTCCCTCACCCACTTCTCCGCTGTCCGACCCCCAGGGAGGAGGCCATATGTAGACCTTGCCATCTGTTCCCCTTTCTCCTTCCCCTTCCCTCCACCCTCCCGCTATCGCCACTCTCTCCACTGGTCCTGGGGGGTCATCTGTCCTGGGTTCACTGTATTTCCAGTTCCTATCTGTGCCAGTGTACATCCTCCGGACCAGCTGGATATGTAAGGTAGAATTGGGATCATGGTAGCAGGGTGGAGGAAGCATTTAAGGACTAGAGGAAAATTGCATATTTCATCTTTGCTACACTGCACTCTGATTGGCTCCTCTTCTCCCCGCAGCCCTTCTGCAAGGGGATGTCCAATTTCCCCCAGATGGGCCCTGGGTCCCCACTCTGCATTCCCCCTCATTCACAATGTTATAAATTTTTTTGTGAGGGGGCGTCTTTGATGCCTGATACCTAACCCCTTCGCCGCCTTGTCATCTTACAGGCTGGTGTGCTTCTTCCACGTGGGCTTTGTTGTTTCTCAGTTAGATGGCCCCTTGTTTATCTTCCAGCATGTCGGACCCCAAATTCTGTATAATTTGTCACCTTGGCACCATCAGCTTTCTTCACCACATTTGCTTATGTACCCGCTTTGTCTTCAGCATTCGTGTCGGGGTAGGCTGGTGCGCTTCTTTCTTGTGGGTTTTGTTGTTTTTTAGCTAGATGGCCGCCTGTTTCTTTTCAAGCCTTTAAGACCCCAGATGCTGTATCATTTGATAGCCGGACACCATCTGCTTTCTTCACCACTTTTGCTAATGCACCCCCTTTGTCCTCAGAGATCGAGTAGGGGCAGGCTGGTGTGCTTCTTCCGTGTGGGTTTTGATGTCTCTCAGCTAGATGGCTGCTTGTTTACCTTCAGCTGAGACTACATTTTTACAGACAGCCATATCTTTCTCTCACTGAGCGCCTGGTGGTTTAGAACCGCTGATTCTGCGGTTAGCAGCCCGAGGAGTAACCCACTAGGAGTCAAAATGGACTCGATGGAGGTGCGTTTGGTTTGGGTTTGGAAACTTCAGGTCTTTTCTCCTGTGCATAGGGGCTGGGAAAGCGGGCAGAAGATGCTGTTGTGGGCGGCATGGCATGCCCAAGGAGCTGAGCGTGTGAAAGCCGGTGGCCGGGAGCGCCGCATGCACACGTAGGCCTACATTCTCACCCATAATTTCACAGCGATCAAGAGGCAATTAAAACCATCGCATCTACCTAGAAGGCTGTTACAAGGATTCACTGATTCACAAAGCAGGGCGGAATAGGGTTGCTGTGAGTCGGGATTTTCTCCAGGGTAAGTGACTGTGCCTTTCAGTTTGGGTACAGAGGATACAGCGGTTTGACACCTTCACTAGCATCACCAGGACCTCTTTTTTTTTTCCTTTTTAAAAAAACTATTTTATTAGGAGCTCTTACAGATAATATAACAATCCATAATTCAATTAAATCAAGCATAATTGTACAATTGCTGTCACCATCAGTTTCAAAACATTTTCTTTCTCCTTGAACTATTTGATATCAGCTCCCCTTTATCCCCTCCCTCTGCCACCCTACATTCAAGGAACTATTATTATTATTTTGCCATATCTCACGCCATCCCCAATGAATCCATACACCTGCAATTCTGTAATCCATTCTTCTTCTTCTTAAGGCATTGCATCGGTCCCTCCCCTGGGTACTTTCTTGGAGACTGAATCTTTCAGACTGGGGAGGGATGCATTCCCAGGGCGGCTAGCTTTAGCTGGGCCCCAGCTTCCCGCGGGACAGATGATCGGTCATTCCTTCTTGTGCCAGTTTTAACTTCCTCAACTAGACTGATGAGCGAGGCCCATGCTTTATGCTTCTTGTGGCTCTTTGACACACCTGGAACAGAGCCTTGAGTCCCTAGTCATAACAGACGGGCTGATTGACTGCCTCATTAATAATAAGCAAAATCTCAAAAAATGCCTGCTTGTCCCTGTCATTGTATTATTTCCTGAACCCCAAGCCCTTGAAAACCACTCACCACTAGGTGGCGAACCACTCCCACTTGCCCTTTTGACACAGTGGATTAGGTGTTAGGCTGCTAACTGTAAGGTCATTAGTTGGGAAAAATCAGCCGCTCCACGCTTCCTCGGAGAAAGGTGAGCCTTCTACTCCCAAAAGAAGAAGGGTCAGTGTTGGTAACTCACAGGGGCAGTTGTATTCTGTCCTGCAGGGTCGCTATGAGTTACCATCAGGTCAGAAGGAAAGAGTGCTACGTGGCACTGATGTTCCCTTTACTATTTCACCATGATGCCTGAGTCCTAGCCAATAGCCTCTCCAACGGTCTGTCTTGCTCTGGCCTGGCATTCTCTCCTGCTACTGACTCCTGAACTCCTCTGTCTGGAGCTCCAAGCCCTACACCACTCTCCTAACTGCTTCGTTCTCTCCTGAACACGCCCACCCCACCCTCCTGAGTGTGTACATAGGGTCAGCTGGCTTTCCTGCCGTCTCCGGCTCCCCTCCTCTGCTTTTCCCCACCTTTTAATAACCAGAAGAGGAAGGCCAGCCTACTGATGCCAGCTCCCCAGGTCCACAGCAGCTGGCTTCTGCCGCATTCATTCTACAGCCACTGTTCTCCTCAGACTACCGCCAAACAAGCCCAATCCGTTTTTGAGGCCCCTTCTCGTTGTAGTCAGCGTCTGACACTCTCCTGTGCTTGGTTTGTCCTCTCAGCTCCCAAGGTACTGAACTAACTGAATTAGCCAGTTGCCACTGAGGTGATCCCGACACGCGGTTGCCCCACGCGTGTCTGAGAGGAACTGTGCTTTATGGGGTTTTCACTGGCAAGTATTCTTGGCAGTAGGGCACCACACTTTTCTTCCAAGGCACCGCTGGATGGACTTGAACCTTCAATGTTTCAGCTAGCAATCAAGCATGTTAACTGGATGCACTCCCCAGAGGTCCTCCTTTAGAAACATCTCACCCCCTACCCACCCCGGAAAGCGTTTCCATCTAGGCTGATTCTGACTCATGGTGACCCTACATGTGACAGAGGAGAGCTGAGTCCCAGAGGCTTTCTTGGCTGGAAGCGTTATGGAAGCAGATCACTCGGCCTCTCTCTGGCTGCACCACGGCACGGACTTGAACCACACACTGTCTATGGGTAGCCAAGTACAAGCCGTTTGCACCGCCCACTTTTCTGATGGATTCTGTGTTTAGGCCCTTACTCTCCTCGAGAATCCTTGAGCCCAGGAAACAGTTTTCTAAGTCCACACAGAGGCACTAGATGCAGGGCCAGGGGGTCTACACCTGAAAAGCCAGCTGCTGGACACCACTGGAGCACAGCTCTCTTCGGGTACATGCAGGGTCACATGGGTCAGCATCCACTTGATGGCAACTGGCTTTGGTTGTTGTTATTTTTTTCCTGCCATTAAAATACCCCAACAATTTTTCTTTTCCTTCTCTTCCTCCCCCTCAGAGGTATTATCAACTCCTTAACTTCAATCTTGGCCCCCAGGCTTATAATTTCCATTTCTTCTCCCAATCTCTTATTTCAAATATTCCTTCATGCTTATAATGCTACTTCTTGGCTCCCAAGGTCTGGCTCCAAATGTCAATGCATCTTGGTGGATTTCTCCAGTGCAATACAAAATCAGAAAACAAGAACTTGGACTCATCCCTCCTCACCACAAACCACTTCTTTCCCATCACTACTTCTCTCTGGAAGGGGCACGACTAAGCCTTGAGCCTTAGTTGCTGGGGTCTCCTTTCTGCCACCATCTCCTACCTCCTCCAGAGGAGGGGAGAGCCCATGATGAGACAGTACAGCAGGGAGCTCAGTCATAAACCAAACCAAACACACTGCCATCACGTATCTCGCTTTCCACCCTAGGCTGTCAGCTCTTAGGGAATAAGAAGTATGCCTTCTGCATCTTCTGTTTCCAGAGGCGCCTCGTCTAGTAGGTCACATAGAGGTTGTTCTCACTAGACACTGAGTTGACTGTTTTACTGGTGTGGCCCTTCACAACAGGGCCAGCTCCTCCTTCCTCCTCCCTTCTGTCCGTACCAAAGGGCTTAGGGGCGTAAAGAGAAAAGGGAAAGTAAGTGAAGCGCAGCAAGCACTCAGCCCTCTGGAAAGTGCATGAGTTTTCAAAGACTTAGTTACAGTCCAGAAGCCACAGACTTTTCGCAGAGTTTGAGAGCCCAGGTCAGGACAATGGTTGACATACAAGGCACTGCACTGCCCTGGGCTATTCTCCATGGAGGCGCCGGTCAGAATCTGGTCAAGAAAACCTCCAGGCTAGGCTACAGAAAGTCTGGGGCGGCAGCCGGGTGGTTATAGCATGTGGTGGACACTTCATCTAATCAAGAAGTCTTTATTTCCACAAACAAACAAACAAACAAACAAACAAACAAACAAACAAACAAACATCTTGTCTTTACAAGACATTTCCATCCCCTCTACCTCATTATCCGAGTTAGTGAATCTGGCTCACCATTCATGCAACAGAAACAACTAAATTAGCGAGGGGGAAAATTGATGTTCCCACCGTCTTCTCTGAGCTAGGTAACAATTGTGATTATGCAGCATCTAGCTGTCAGCAAGTACTCCTTGAGCCCTGCCTGCAGAGCTCCTGTTCTAAGGGAGATGGTCCTTGTGTTCTGGCTTTAGCAATCAGGTGCCTACCTTGCCCCCCTGTACCATACCAGAGCCCCTTCCAGCAGCGCCGTGGCCATAGAATTTGGGCCTGCCTGGCCCGGAGCCGGACTTTCCGGCGACTTGTGTTCTGCCCTTGGAACATTCTGCCTCCCTGCTGTTGCTCTTCCACGCCTGCCGGGCCTCCCATCCCTGTTGGCCTGTGGCGGGAACCCCCGAGGCAGTCCATGGCCCATTTGCAAGTCATTTAGCTGCTCTGTGCCTCTATGTCTGAATGTGCAAGCTGAGGGTAACTGGTATCATCTCCCTCCAAGGCATGCGTACTGGGAGGGTTCAATGAGGCTGGCCTAGTGCACCCAGACCACTCAGTAAATTATCATCACCTTTATCATGGAGGGGGGGAGAGAGAGGAGGCTTTCTACTTCTGTAAAGAGTGTACAGTTTCAAAAACCCACAGGGGCCGCTCTATACCATCCTATAGGGTCACCATGAGCCGGAATGGACTGGATGGCAGTGAATTTGGTTTGGTTTATGACCACTATACTGTCTCACTCATGGGCTTTCCCCTCCTCTGGAGGAGGTAAGAGCTGGTGGCAGAAAGGAGCCCCCCACCCCAACACTGTTGTGTGCGGGCTCGGTCCCTCTCTCACAGGTAGGCCCATCCCCACCCAGCTGCAGAAGCCCAGTACCTCTCAGTGTCAGGTAGCCATACGCCAGGTTGGCCAAAGCCTGTGCAAATTTCCAGTGTTGTGCCCCAAAGGCAATCCGAGAAAGGATGACACAGCGAATCAGCTCCCTGTTTGCCTGGATATTCTGTGGACGGCAAAGAGGTCACTAATTAATTGTTTTTGGAAAGCAGAACTATCGATGGTGCATGTTCGTGTCCCTGGAGTGTACACCTGAATTCGCCTGTCATCTTTTTCCCCCTCTTCTCTTTCCTTCTCCCCGTCAAGCTGTTGGAGACACCTTAAATCCTAAATCCTCAAAACGAGTCCTGCTGCTTGTTCCTGCCAAGAGTCCCTTGTCCAGGCCACACTCACCTTGAACCTTCCCGACCACAGCAGCTTTGCCCCTCTAGCCTCTTGCTCTGGAGACGCTGCAGAAGACGCACAGGCAGGCAGCATGACCTCACCTTCAGTGGTCTTCTGAGGGCAAGCTTGGGTCACACCTACACTTTCCAACCCTCCATGCCTCTACCCCCCACCCCGCGCCTATGCCGCAGCAAATTTAAGACGTTACCTCGTCTCGTCTATTAACATGTCAAAAATGCCTCTAAAAGATAGACTGAAAAACATAACAATGCCATCATTTCACCAAAAATGAAATTGATGTCAAATAGTCTCACAAATCTAATAAATACATAAATCTGTTTTTCTCATTCAGAATACAAATATAATTCATACATGAAATCAGTTGACGAATCTTTTGAGTCTGTTATCAGTTTATTTACCCCAGAAAGGCCCTTCTCGGTCACTCTGTCTGAAATTGTCTCTCTCGTTACTTGCTATCCCTTTACTCGTTTTACTTTTTCTTCATAAAAACTCACCGCTATCTGACCCCGCACTACCTACTGTTGTTGGCTTGTCTGTCTGTATCTGCCCCCTCGGTTGTAAGCTCCTTGAAGGCAGCCGTTTCCTTCCTCAGGTAGCTGCTGTCTGCTCAGTGCCCAGCCCAGTGGAGGGACTCCTTTCAGATTTGCTGGATGAGTCACTGATTAGCAAGGAGAGGGAGAGAGCGGTCCTGCCCCCAGAAAACGGACAGGAAGGCCCTGTGGGACATCATCAACCGGCTTAGTCAAGTCACGGATTTCAGTAACTTTAAAAACAAAGCTATCTGGGCTGCACTGATAGGCGAGGTCGGTGTTCATGTCCCAGTAAACCGAAAACAGCGTGTGTGTCCAGACATCAAAAGTCTGGACTTTCTGAAAATGGTGCGTAGGAAAAATTCCCCCCACCCCCCCACCCCCGCAGACCCCAGCGTCTCATCTGGACTAGGGAGCCGAGAGCGGCTATGTCACAGAGTTATTGCGAGGGAAAATAAGCCCACGTCCCAGCGATGGTCATCCCCTTAATGAGGGTACAGGTATCCTAGCTCCTAATGTGCATCCACGGAGGGCTCACTCCGCACCTCTGCTCTCCTACCTAACCGGGTTTTCTCCTGCTCAACTGCATGGACTCGAGGCATGCTCGGGGGACATTTCCTGAAGCATTTCCCACCTACTCCTTCAGCATTGGCGACCACTGGCCATGGGCTGACCACAGAAACAACGAAGTTCTGGTTCCAGGAAGCAGCACACTACCACGAAAAACAAAACCACTGGGCTGAGTTTGGGTCCGGCCTCTGGACATTCATCGTTTCCCCCAATCTCTGCCCTGAGGAAGCTGAGACAAGCAACGTGGGCAATGGAGGTAACCCAATACTACTGCTGGTGATGGTGCCGATGAGCCTGCTGCCCCTCAGGCCTGGCAGAACTGGCTAGCATGGAAGCCTGAAATCCCTTGGATTGAACTCTGAGTATCTAAGTATTGGTCATTATCCAAGGTGAACAAGGAGCACCACACTTTCCACGTGCATACTTCTACTTTTTGGTAGTGAATCCTTGACTGCTGTTAGACATGGCCATTCTAGCCTGCATATGTGAGATACTAATGGCACTAGACCAGCGTGATTCTGCCTTGCAGGCCTTCTGGGTAAATCACAGAGAGCCCATCTAGGAAGTGATCACCTTTCCCTCTGCCTCCGTTTTGCGGGCACCTCCAGCCTCTTCTGAGCCAGCTGCAGGCCGTCCTTTAAGAGATCATTTTCTCCCTTAGCCAGGAAATCAATGTAAAAATCCCTCTACTGACAGAGCATGCTCTGGAACCAGGTTGGTACCTGCATTCTGATAATGAGCAGTGATGGTGATACTTTGCTGTCTCCAAATCCTCCCAACGGGACCAAGAGGTAACACCGTGATGGACGGAGGAAAGATTGAAGTTGCCCAGGATTACGTTTTGCTTGGATCCACCATCAATGGTCGTGGATGCAGCAATCAAGACAGCAAACTACCTATTGCATCAGGCAAATCTGCTATGTAAGATCTCTTGAGAGTGCTGAAGGTCAAGGATATCACCTTGAGGACTAATGTGCTCCTGACCCAAGCCATGGCATTTCTAACCAATGCTAACAAAGACCACAGAAGAAATGGTGCCATGTGAGTTACGGTGCTGGCAACGAATATTGGCAGTACCATGGACTGCCAGAAGAACAAATCTGTCTTGGAAGGAGTATAGCCAGAGTGCTCCTGAGAAGCCAGGGTGGCGAGCCTTCTTCTCAGGGATGCTGGACATGCTACCAGGTGAGACCAGCCCCTGGAAAAGGGCATCTTGTTTGGTAAAGCAGATGGTCGGCAAAAATGAGGTAAGACTTTTAACAGGATGGATTGACACAGTGGCAGCAACAATGAACTCAAATATCAGTTTGAGATGGCGCTGGCCTGAGCAGGTTTTGTTTTGTGGACAGACGGTCGCTAAGAGTTGGAACCAACTGGGTGGCACCTAACAATGACACTCTGCTGTCTCAACTTCCTGGATTCTGAGCACTTGTGCTTACACCTAAGTCTTCAACTGTCTCCCAGAAAGTCGTACCTGGACGCTCTGACCTCTGCTTTGTTTGGTCATCATTCCACTGTCACCACGGGCATCTTACCCGCATCCTTGGAAAGCCTAAGCCTAGCTCCCTTCCTGGTTGCTCTGGTTTTCAGTCTCCTGCTTCAATACACCAATAACCCCTTCTGAGTGGTACCATCCAAAAAAGGGGGAAAAGACACAGAAAGCTACATACACAAAGGACAGCGCAAGGTGTACTTGGTACTCAAGATGTATCATCCTGAAACCTTCTGGCAATCAGACAGCAACCAAAGCACAAACCCAAACTCATGGCCACGGAGTCGATGTTGACTCAAAGCGACCTTACAAGACCAGGGAGAACTGACCTTGTGAGTTTCCGAGACTGTAACTCTTTACTAGAGTACAAAGTCTCATCTTTCTCTCACAAAGTGGCCAGTGGTTTGGAACTGCTGACCTTGCAGTTAGCAGCCCATCATGTAACCACTATGCCACCAGGGCTCAGCAATACAAGGGGCCCGGGACTATTTCTGAGCTTCAAGCTAGGAGAACAAATATTCCAAAGAGAAAGGCACGTTGAAGCATGCGTGGGTCCTCAAGGCAGGCTGGCTGGCTCTCCAAGGATGCTTTGCTTGGTCGTCTCCCACTGTACCAAGAAATCACCCACCCTCCTCTATGACTCCATGCTCTTCAAGCTGCAGTTATGGCAGAACTTCTAGAATCATGAATGCTATTTTTACATTGAAACAGAAATCCAGAGAACAGTGTGCCTGCATTGTTTGTTTTACCAGTTTGTCCTTAATCAGCACAACGATTTTCTTCTGGCATTGGGCTAGTTTGTCTTTGGGATGAGACAAGTAGTCCATGACCTTGACTTCCTCCTTGGCTAGAAAATCTTCTTCACTCTCTCCAGAATTATCTGTGGAATTCAGCTCAGGGATTTCCTGGCTGGCTGGGGTCTTGGTTTGCTGGGACCTGTGGGTACCAGGGAGGGAGTAGAATGGAGTCAGGGTCTGGCTTTTGCCTAGCTCAGACAGGATAAAATGGAAGAACATAACCCTCCCAAATGGGGGTTAGGGATATGGTTTCTAAAATAAACATGAAAGAATAAAGCCCAAGCCGTAAGATTACAACACTCTTAGAGGCTGGCCTTGGAAAAGCAGCACAGTAATTCCCATTAAACAGATGGAAATTAAACCAATATATCCACCTGAATTAGTTTCACAGTTCTACCAGTTCTGGACCAAAGGACCATAAGCAAGTCATGACTTAATTTACCTCTCTGCCAAATGCGATCTACACGAGTCCTCACTTGGTGAGGTTATGGGGCTGAGGGGGTGGGGGGAGGACGGGATAAACTCAGTATAGGGCTTTTTTAGCATAAGCTATTATTATCATGAACTCCATGGTTTGCTTTTTGATCTATAAAAGGAGGATGTTGCACTGGAAGACCACAGTCTTCCGGTTATAAAATTCTGGTCCATATCAAGAAAGAAAACGTCTATAGTAAAATAAGAGAACGGGGCCAAATATTTTGAAGTTAAGATTCTGCATGCCATCTTCATGTATGTGTAAAAATGTCAGCATGTCGTGGGCCAACTAACTAAAGAGAATGTGAGCCCCACCAGGGAGAGGAGAAGGAATCTCTGGATCAAGTGCGGGATCAGCAGAGAAACAGCCCTCCCAGTGGTTAGAAATAAACGTGGAAGAAAGAGCTGAGTGGGTTTAAAACCAAGCTCTCGCAACACACCTCACCAAGCTCACTGCCATCCAGTTGATTTCAATTCATAGCGATTCTATAGGACAGAGTAGAACTTCCCCTGTGGGTTTCGGAGACTGTAACTCTTTAAGGGAGTAGGATGTCAAGTCTTTCTCTTACAGAGTGGGTACGTGCATGTACACACACACAGTATAAGATCTTTGACTTCGGTGTTAAGCACAATTGTTTGGGCAATTAGAAAGGCAAACCTGAAAGTCAAAAGAGTTCATTTAATAGAGCAGAATAGATTTTTCTATTGTTGTTGTTGTTGTTATGTTCCTTCAAGTCAATTGCGGGGCACTGGCCTCCAGAACTGGATAGTCCAAGGGGCAGTTGCATAACTGAGGGGTAACTTAAAGGAACAACAGACAAGGCATGCAAGGGCTCACCTCTTCCATGGGGACCAGAACCAGAGTGAGGGGTCAATGCATTCTCTCACAGGCTTATATCATCTCGGGCATGCAGGCCACGTCAGACAGATACATAACAGGAAGGGGTTGTATTAGAGGCATAACAGGAAGGGGATGAGCTAGGGGTAGACACACAATAGGAAGGGGCGGTATTAGAGGCATACATGTGACAGGAAGATACATACATAACAAGATGGGTTCTAGAACAAAGATGGTGGGTGGCCTAACCTTGGTCACCTCTGAGCTGGCTTGACTAAGTGTTCCTGAGTTCTTCTCCAGGGGAATATTCTATGATCCTTATTAGAAGGGAGTGGGCCATACTTAGGGTTAAATGGCCTGACTGATTTTGATGGCAGATAACCTTCCAAGCAGTTAACCTTCAAGAGTATAGTAGCAACCACGTGCTTGCAAGCAAAACCTTAAAAAATGGCATTATTATGGGGGGACATTGTGGGGAACAACTTTTACTTAGGAGAATGTGACTGAGCTGCATCTCCAACCCACGAATGTGAAGGCCTCCCTCCACCAGTCTGCGTCCCAGATGCTTAATTACGAGTATAGAGGAATTGTCGGCATCCACTCTCTTCCGAGTTCTCAGTTTCCCACAGTCAAGCCTGATTCCTAGAGAGCCTATTTAGAACATAATGAACACTGCCCAGTCCTGAGCTACGCTACAATATTTGAGCCTACTGTTGAAGCTGTACTGGGTCAACCTAGCTTATTAAAATTGGAAATCTTAAGAGCAACAATTTTATTTTATTAAGTTCCTCAAAGGAATGTTACCATTCACAATCACTTTTAAAAGTTCAACCACCACATCGTTTGATTTATTATTATTTTAATCATTTTATTGGGGTCTCACACAACTCTTATCACAATCCATCCATCCATCCATCCATCCATCCATTGTGTCAAGCACACTTGTACATTTGTTGCCATCATCATTCTCAAAACATTTTCTTTCAACTTGAGCCCCTGGTATCAGTTCCTCATTTTTCCCCTCCCTCCCTCCCAAACCCTTGATAATTTTTTTTTTCATGTCTTACACTGTTTGATGTCTCCCTTCACCCACTTTTCTGTTGTCTGTCCCCCAGGGAAGAAAGCTGTAAGTTTCATTGGTGCTATACTGCACCCTGACTGGCTCATCTCCTCCCTGAGACTCTTCTTTAAGGGGATGTTCAACTGTATACAGATGGGTTTGGGGTCTCTACTCCACAGTCCCCCTCATTCAAAGTGATATGACTTTTTGTTCTGGGTCTTTGATGCCTGAAACCTGATCCTATCAACACCTCATGATCACACAGGCTGGTGTGCTTCTTCCATGTGGACTTTGTTGCTTCTCAGCTAGATGGTCGCTTGTTTGTCTTCAAGCCTTTAAGACCTCAGATGCTATATCTTTTGATAGCTGGGCACCATCAGCTTTTTCACATCATTAAAAAAAATAACATTTATCTTTCTCTTGATTGTGTTTTTTTGTTGGTAGATGCCACCAAGTCAGTTCTGAGTCAGGGTCACGGCAACCCTGTGCACATCAGAGTGAAATACCCGTAGGCCCTGTTCCCTCCTCACAATTGTTATGTTCCGGCCCATCACTGCAGCCACTGTGCCAATCCATCTCAGAGAGGGTTTTCTTCTTTTTCACTGTCCCTCTATTTTACCCAGCATGACGTCCTGTTAGTCCACTCGTGAGGATTTTTGTTTTCTTTACATTGAGTTGTAATCCATACTGAAGGCTGCAATCTTTCTCCACACAGCTGTATAAGTGAGTTAAGTTCAGTCTGGTTCAGAACCGTGGGTCAATTGTAAGCCAGAAGGTTCTCCTGACTCGTGTAGCTGCAGGGGATGATGAATAGGAAGCAGGAAGACCACAGGCTGGTAGATACAGAAGTAAATGCATCCAAAGTCAGCAGTCTGCTGATGGCTCCTGGGATCAGCAACAGGTGATAAAATCCTTCACCTATTAGTTTGAAAAATGATATGCTAATAGCCATCTTAGGAGTTGTGGTGGCACTGTGGGTTAGACCTTGGGCTGCTAATTACAAGGTTGGTGATTCAAAGCCACCAGCCATCCCACAAGAGAAAGAACAGGCTTTCTGCTTCTGTAAGGATTTATAGTCTGAAAGGCCCTATATAGGGTCACTGCGAGTAAGAATCAACTCGATGGCAGTGAGTAATAGCCATCTACCGTCTTGTTTTAATTAACCTCTGCGGAGGCATGTAGGTGAACGAGGTTGGGTCAGGGAGAGCAATATTTCTTCAGGCCCACATCCAAGAAAGACCTCATTTACCCACAGACTGAAGAGTGTTTTCAGGAGACACAGTACCTCAATGGGAAAGCAAGGGGAATCAGCCATGCAATGTTATCAGAAGGTGAGTAGTAAATTTGCTTCTTCCCTACCCAGTGCATTCTGTCCTCCCATAGAAAACACAACTCAGATGTCACTTCTGCTGGAAGTCTTCTCTGAGCCTGAGTTTGAGAATCCCTGGTGTAGAGGAAGAGTTATATGATGGACTTTGTGGTCAGCCTGCTCAGTCTGAATACTATTAACTGTGTGACTTTAGGTAAGTTGCCTAATCTCTTTCTGATTCAGACTCCTCATTTATAAAATAGGATCATAACGGTCCCTTCGTCTTAGGGTTGTGGGAGTTTGTGATGATGTGATGACTTTCTAACTCCCATCAAATGATTGGGTGGAACCATGCAAATAGTGTGTGCATGAAGCATGAAAAGGAGGGATTGGTCAGCTTTGCTATTGCTCTGGGTATAAAAAGAGCCATCTCAGAAGCAGAGAGAGGGAATCTCATGACCATCAAAAATGAAGAGCTGGGAGGGACTTCCGGGAAGATGGCGACTAACATATACCAGAGAGACTCTGTAGACATCAGTGCAGGAGAGTTACTAAGAGGGAAATCACACTGCTGGGTTGCAGGAGGAGCATAATAAAGATAAGTAGACACAGATCCACTAGGTTTTGAGGAGCTGGGGGCTTTTGGCTTACCACAGAGGAGGCCTGCTAGGGTCTGACCTTAGCCCTGCCACTGCCTCAGCTGGAGCCAGGATCATTTGGAGCCGGCATAGGGGCTTTATCTCAACACAGGCACAGCTTGTTGCCACCTCGGGGCAGGGTTTAAATCCCTCCAGCCCCACTGTCAGGGATCGTGATTCAGCTATATTGTCACTTTTGTTTCCCTCTCTTCTCTCTATCCCCCCACAGTGTCAGCGGGCTTAGTTTTTCATTCTTTCTTTTTCTCTTACATTTTTTCTTACATGCCACTGTGACCCCCAGACCACTCCCTTTAGCCTAGGGCATTTATGCCTCCCCTCCACCCAGCTGGGGGAGCTCCACACTCTGCAGAAAAACCCAAGGTTGGGGAAAGCCCACCCACCCTCCACCAAGGGATAACTTGCCCCCCTTCTTCCGGGGGAAATTCTGCCCACCCACACTCTGCATTGTTTAACACATGACTGGGGAAATCCCGCCCATCTCTTTTAGGGGAAATCTTGCCTACGTGGCCAGGGGAGCTCCTACCCGTCCTCTATGGTCCCAGGTGACTGAGGGAACTTCCTCTGGCCTACCGTAGTGCCTCACATGGCCTAAGGCAGCTCAGCCAACACTCGCTAATTCTCCACACTGCTACAGGAACCTCTCCCTAACCTCTGCAGTGATCTACCTGGGTAGGACAATTCTGCCCACCATTCTCAATGCTCTACACCAAAGTGGGCAACCCCACCAGTCTTCTGTGCACTCCCATTGCAGCAGGCACTCCTGCACACCCTCTGTGGTGCCCTACATGCCGTGGGCCACACCATCACGGCTTTTGAGATCACCCAGTGCAGCACCATCCTCACAGGTCCACAACTACCCGAGATTCCCCTAAGAGGACTATCCAACTTGCCTTCCAAATAACAGAATACTGGTTAACTAGGGAAAGAGTGAAGCCACAGGAGGATAAAGTGGTAGGCCAATCCCACAGTGCAATTAGCTGCAGGCAGTTCAAAGAAGCATCCCTATGAGTCTCCAAGACAGAGCCAGTGCTCGCTCTTCAACACTCTGGAAAATTGGCACTTGGCTCCTCTAAAACAACACAACACAAACAGCAATCAGCCCCAACGACCTCAACGAAAAAACAGGAGAAACAAAAGGCAATGGCAGAAGATGTCCTGAACCTAACAACGTGCATAGAAGAAGCAGATATTGAGCTGCCACAGAAAGAAATTTTCAGAATGCTGCTTGGAGTCATACAGGATATGAGGGAAACAATCCAGAAAAAGGATGAAATGATAGAGGAGATAAAGTCCATACACCAAAGGGAAATACAAGAGCTTAGGGACCAGATAACAAAAACCAGTAGCAGACTCACAGACTTCGCCAATCGACTGGAGGAGGTAGAGAAGCGCACCAGTGACTTAGGGGACAGCCAAGCAGACTATAACAAATGCGAACAAAAATCGAATAGGATCATCAGAGAAGCTGAAGAAAACCTAAGAGCTATGTCTGAAGCTATGACGAGGAACACTATCAGAATAACTGGATTATTGGAGGAAGATAAATCAAAGAAGTCAACTGCAACAATAGTGAGAGAATTCTTGGAGGAAAACTTCCCCAGCATAATGAATGAAAACCAGGCAACCATTCAGGAGGTTGAAAGAACACCAGCTAGACTGAATCCCAAGAAGAAGTCACCAAGGTACATAATAGCTAAACTATCCAACTTTGAGGTACAGGAGAAAATCCTGAGAGCAGCTAGGGTAAAACAAGCAATCACATATAAAGGTTCCCAAATAAGAATATGCACAGACTGATCAATGGACACTATGAGGAAGAGGAGATAGTGGAGTAACATATTCTAAAAATTGAAAGAAAATAACGCAAACCCGAGAATACTCTATCCAGCCAAATTATCTATCAAGATAGAAAAATTTACTTCAGAGGACAGCAATGAAGCTCAGGGAGAGGGACAGGACTGATCAGAGCACACAGGAGCAAATGAAGGGGGAGGAAGAGAAAGTGGAGCACATCCTAGCCTACCAAGCCTTGAGGACGATATTCCTGCTCAGAGGAGCCAATCTACAGAGAAGACCATATGGCTGGCCCCACTATGAGATATGATATCCCTCACTGACCCACAGTCCTACAGGTGACAACACTGGAAACACAGTTTAGGAATTTCTTCCAATCTGACCCCACCACACGGAGGCAAAACACTAAGGGCATGCAACAGAACAGCAAGGGGAGCAGAGCAAGGAAGTCCTCAGGGAGAACCAAAAGTAGACTTTGGGGCCAGGGCGTGGCACCCCATCAGCCTCCACCAGAAAACACTCCTAAAGGTCAACAAATAGACCTGGAACTATTTACAGGCTTTTTCTTTTGTCATTGGATTTTTATTGTTGTTGTTTTGTTTTCTTTTGCTGCTTTGTTTTGCTGTCTTGTTTTTTTGTGCACATTATTATCTCTGCAGGTCTATCTAGATAAGTTAGGCAGGGTAAACTATCTGGAGGCGAAACAATGGGACCAATGGTTCAGGGGAGTGGGGATCCGGCATGGGAAAGGGGGAGGAGGGGAAAAGGAAGTGGGTGTTAACAACCTCAGGGACAAGGGAACAATAAGTGATCCAAAAGCAATGGGGAGGTATAGGAGGCCTGGTAGGGCTTGATCAAGGGCAATGAAACTGAGAGGAATTACTGAAACCCAAATGAATGCTGAACATGATAGTGGGACAGGAGAAGAGTAAAAGAAAATAGATGAAAGAACTAGGAGGCAAGGGGGATTTATAGAGGTCTAAATACAGGCATGTACCTCTGTAAATATATTTATATATGATGATGGGGAAATAGATTGACGTGCATATATTTATAGGTTTAGTATTAAGAAAGCAGATGGACCTTGGGCCTCCACTCAAGTGCTTCCTCAATGCAAGAACACTTTGTTCTATTAAACTGGCATTCCATGATGCTCACCTTCCCGACATGATCACTCAAGACAAAATGGGGCATAATCAAATGTGGTGAAGAGAGCTGATGGTGCCTGGCTATGAAAAGATATAGCAGCTGGGGTCTTAAAAACTTGAAGATAAATACGCTGTTATCTAGCAGAGAAGCAACAAAGCCCACATGGAAGAAGTTCACTAGCCTGTGTCATCAGGAGATGTTGATTTGATCAGGTATCAGGAATCAAATAACAAAAATCATATCATTGTGATTGTGGGGGAGAGTGGAGACCCAAAGCCCATCAATAGGTAACTGACATCCCATACAAAAGTGTTGTGGGGAGGAGACGAGCCAGTCAGGGTGTAGCATAGCAACGATGAAACATACAACTTTCCTCTAGTTCTTTAATGTTTCCTCCCCCCCTCAACCCCCCACCAACAACTATCATGATCCCAATTCTACTTTACAAATTCGGCTAGACCAGAGGATGTAGACTGGTACAGATCAGAGCTGGAACCACAGGGAATCCAGGATGGATAAACCCCTCAGGACCAATAACCAGAGTAGGGATACCAGGAGGGGAAGGTGAAGGGGGGATAGTAAGGGGGAACCTATCACAAGAATCTACATAAACTCCCTCCCTGGGGGAAGAATAACAGAAAAGTGGGTGAAGGGAGATGTCGGACAGCGTAAGACATGACAAAATAATAATAATTTATAAATTATCAAGGGTTTGTTAGGGAGGAGGGGTGGGAGGGAGGGGAAAAATGAGGAGTTGATACCAAGGGCTCAAGTAGAAAGCAAATGTTTTGAGAATGATGATGGCAATAAATGTACAAATGTGCTTGACCCAATGGATGTACATATGGATTGTGATAAGAGTTGTATGAGCCCCCAATAAAATGATTTTAAAAAGAAAAAACAAATAACAAAAGAAGACCTGCCGGCAAAGTATATGTGAGAATTGGCAGTGGCAGCACTAAGACAATGAGACAGAGCAGAGGAGCTAGCTGAGACCCTGAGGCAGCTGCATTTACTTCCAGGCCCATGGAGGTAGAAGCTAAGGGACCACATGGCTGAGAAGGGATGCAGTGGACAAAACAACCGTATGCTAACACTGACACGTGTTACCATCTCTGATAAACACCTATAAGGGTGAGTATTGTCTTTGACCCTTGTGACCATTTCAATGCATTCTCAAACCCAGCAGCGAAGGAGAGTGCCAGGGGAGGAATGTCTGATGTGAGACTAGCTAAAGAAAGATGGAGGGTGGAGGCCTGTCTGACCTCTGCCTTGGGGTAATTGCCCTCGGCCTAGTGTGGAGTTGGATTCTCCTTCTCACTACTGAAGCCAGAGGTGGTCGGATAACGGCCCCTCCCTGCCCCACATTTTCTCAGTTAATTGAGTCACTATGGGTCACGTATTTAGATCAGTGGCTAGCATGAACCATTTTCTTTACATATGGCCTCCCCATTTCATAAAACTGAACTTTAATTTACTCGTTGACAGTTCTAGACAATTCTCTGATTTTCCTGACATTGCTATAACTAACTCAATCTTTACAATACGGATAACTAAGTTTTATGTAAGGAAACCAATGCTCTTACTGCCTGATTGTGCTGTCCACGCACGCACGCACAGAGCTGATAGCAGACTTGCTGGGAAAACACATTGCACAAATGGGGCCCCGCACACTTCTCAAAAGGAAGCAGAGGATGGTGGCACAACTTGAAATGTGGAATCAGTGTCACAGAATTGCACATGTAGAAATGGTGGAATGGGGTTTGTGGGATATAAAAAGGCTTTCCCCCGGCTTGTCTCCCCCAAATATATGTCAGACCTAGGACACTGCTCACAACACATAGTAAATAATTGTAGCACACTTGGAAGCAAGCTGGTTAGAAGTCATCTCCCTGAAGGCATCAGCCATCCAGAGCAATCAGACTACTGTCTGGTCCACCTTAGGTGGGGCTCACACCCTACTGATAAGGATAGTGATTGTTTCCCTGGAGAGCTCAGACTAAGTCAAGTCAGCAGCTCAAGGACGATCAAGGTTAGGCTGCCATCCTGAATCTAGAATCTGCCCATCTTGTCACATGTGTACCCTTAATACCTCCTCTTCCTATTTCGTGTACACCCTTAGACTGTCCCCCTCCTACTGCTGTATAGCCTATGGTACAAGCCCTTCCTGTGACGTATGTGGTTACCTGTATTTAAGGGGCTTGCACGCCCCCCCAAGTATATATAAGCGTTGGTCAGAAATATACTCTCTCTCCTCCCCTCCCCTCCTCCCACGCTCTGTGAGCAACTGGCTGCTGAGATCATGGCTGTCCAGTAGGTGAGCATGCTACTGTAAAATGTGTCTGACTCCTTTATTTTACCTTCTCTTCTAACTCTCCTATATTCCATGACTTTACTATAATCTTTATATATTTTCGCTGTACAGTTGTGCCTATGGACCCGTGATATTGTCAGGGGCTGGTTTGCCCTAAGAGGTGTTATGTTCTATTATGTGTAGTCTCAACCACAACACCAGTAAAATAAAGAGTAATAAAATAAAAACAGGACTTAATGATAGGAAATACCCACCACGGAACCCATGTTTAGGGACAGAGGTCTGAAAATTGTAGCTTTGTAAGTAGAGTTGCTTTATAAGCTAAAACAAAAGATGACACAAACACACCACACATCAAAGTGGCTCACTCTTCTCTTCAATGGAATGTATATGCCACGCTTCTCACCCAGGATTACCCCAAGTGCCAGGCCCCAGGGTTTCACCCCAGACGGTGTTAACATCAGGGTGCTGTAAGTACTTACAGATCGAAGCAAGTGTCCCAGTCGTTGTCGCTGCTGACTGTTGGGATACGGATGGGGCTGGCTTGCATCTTCTTCCTACCGAGAAGCACAGCTCTGCTTTATTTTCTCCCCACTGGTTGCTGTGAACATCAAATTGCTGCTGCCCAAGTATATAACCCCTCCTAAATCTACAACTAGACTAGAAACATTCGTGGATGCAGACCCCCGAGAAGCAGAAATTGAAGATGGTAGCTAAATTAAATTTCAGTTTGGTTTCTTTCCCCGAATTTCTACTCTGAATCATGATTCCTTTTTATAGTGTCCCACCCACTCCCCCTGAAGGCTGAAAATGGAGAGCTAGCAGCACAGTGGTTCTGCTCTAGGCTGCTAACAACCAGGCCAGCTGTTCAAAACCAGCAGCCCAAAAGGAGAAAGCTGTGGCTTTCTGTTAACGTAAAGGTTCACAGTCTGTAAAACCCACAAGAGCAGCTTTACTCTGTCCCACTGATTCAGAACTGACTTGACAGCATGTTAAACAACAACAACAACAACAAACAGCAAAACCCCACATTTATGCATACACAGCACATATATAGCTCCTGGGTCATTAAAGGAAGGGCCCTGGTTTCATATTGGCTCTGCTGTGGAATGCGATCCACAAGGTCAGCAGTTCGAAACCACCAGCCGCTCTTCAGGAGAAAGGCAGGGTTTCCTACTCCTGTTAAGCATGACAGTCTTGAGAGGGGCAGTTCTACACGTCCTGTAGGTTGCTAGGAGTCAGCAATGACTCGATGGCAGTAATTCTGGCTTGGTTTTGGGGTCATTAAACTATGGTTTCCCACTCAAATCAGACGCTGTTTTGGCAGGGCTGAGAGCAGAGCCAGCGGTTCCCTGGTAGGATATAAAGTGTGGCCAGCTTTGGGGCCAGGTCTCCTTTTCCCATTTGACTGTTTAATAAAAGTTTCTGGTTAAAAAACAAACAAACAAACAAACAAACAACCCACGGCCAGCAAGTCGACCCTATAGACTAGAACTGCCCTTGTGGATTTCCAAGACTGTAACTTTTGACTGGAGTAGAGTCTCATCTTTCTTCTGCAGAGCAGCTGGTGGTTTCGAACTGCTGGCCTCTGGTTAGCAGTCCACTATGCCACCAGGGATGTTTTACTTCTATTGTGGGCTCTTGGGGGGGTAGGGACGGGGGAATGTTTGGAAATGCTTCTGCAATGTACCTCTCCTGGCTAACTGTCGCTGGGAGCTTCCAGCGTCATGCCCACGGGGAAGGCTGTCACTCACTGACAATTCAAACCCTGCAGCGGCCCGCTCCTCATCCCACCCAGCGGAATGCCATTCGTTCCCACCGGCGCCAGGGCTCACGACCTTCTCATCTTGAATTTCAGAACGGTGGCCTCTCAAAAACCAAGCTTCGACTCCCCGCTGTGACCCGGACTCGAGGTTAGCGAGTCTCCTGCGTCCTTTCCCCGCGGTTCCGCAGGGACTGCGCGAAGCGCCGCTGGACCTCGCCCCACCCGGGCCCGCGTACCTGCGCGGCCGGGGAAGCCACGCCCCGGAAGCAGCCTCGCTGCTCCCTCCGTCGGCACCGCGGCGTCCTCGGGTGGTGTCCGTCTCCTGGCCCTGGGAGATCTCGTCCAGGGTCCTGCTGGGGTGCCTTGCGGACGCGCGACGCTCTGAGAGAGATGACTTTCACGGACGCTGCCGGGCCTCGGCTCGGGTGACAATGGCGTTACCATGGCAACAGAAGGGGGCGGGACCTGAGGCCGCGGAGTGCGCTCTCGGGTCGCCAGGGTGACGCGGCACACATCCGGAATGCGGAGCCGTTGGGGCCATCTGGGGCACACCGCGCCGGCTCCCGTGGGCGGGACGCGACCCTTTGCAAACTCTTCCCCAAACGTACTTCTCCTTGCAGCTATTCCCCTAAAAAGAAAAAGCCCACACTCACAGCGACCTCACAGGACAGGGTAGAACCGCCCCTGTGAGTCTGCGAGACCGTAACTCTGTGGGACTAGAAAGCAGAGCGGCTGCTGATCTTGCAATTGGCAGCCCAAGGCATAACCACTAGGGCACCGGGGTCTCTGCTCTTGATTTTCTTCAAAGAGACTTTCTGAGACGAAGGTGCAGGTAGTGGAGCTACATCCCCTCCAAGGAACACAGCTCCATCTAAAAACCTGCAGGGGCTCTATCCAGCGACACCCTTTGTGCTCCCCCACCCCAACCCCCAACAACCCTACAGCCCCCAAGTGATCAGGCTCTATGGGTCCCAGAGGAAAGGCAATCATTGATGGGCAGGGGGAGGGGGCTTCTATGTGACCTGTCATCTAAAGATTTGAGCTGTGTATGGTTTGAGCACAAGGGAAGTAAGCATTAAGAAGCAGAGCACTAGGTCTGCTCACGGGATTAGCAGTCAGAATATCTTCAAGGGGAGCACATCTGGAGAACACCACGAAGACTAACAGTATGCAGCCATATAGACCAATACCACCACCACCCTACCCCTTCTGTGGCCTGAAATACCCAGTGGTAGTAACATCTGGCACGTATGGAGGGAGAGATGGTGCCTTTAGTCCCAGGAGTGATCAACATCCCAAAGATTCACACTTGATCTGGCCATCTTGTTCTTTAGGGTGGACTCAGCCTTTGACAAGTCAAGTTGAAGATAATGTCCATCTCCTTTCCAAAATGAGAGGCTCGTTGAGAGAGAAGGAGAGTATTTACCAGGAACCGGTGTCTACGTTCTTTCCAGTTCTCTGGTTGAAGTTTTTTTTCCTTGCCATTGATCCAAGATTGCAAAGAGAGCTTTTCTGGAATTGGGTTGGAGGAGCTATTTAAATGAGTTTGCGTAAGGATCCCTTAAGACATCAGGGCTCTGGTTCCAACTGTGTGTGGCTTGGAATCTATCAAAAGCAGGGCCCTCAATTTCGTACCTGTACAATAAAAGTATATGTGCCACTTGCTTGCTAAGACTTCCAGTTCCAGGATTTATGCTATATGGATAATATTTAATATGCATTGGAGGTGGTGGGGAGGGGGGTAACAGGTCCCTTTTTCTCTAACACTCCCCGTACCCCCCAGTAAATTAACCTGTCATTCTAGGAACTGGCTATCAGGCTGTTTCTAAATGTATTAGATGCTTGTCTTGTCTACACCTTTGCTTTACTCAATGTGAAGGAAAGTATTGTACCAGAACACCGACTTCCCATTTGTCAAGTTGATACTCCATTCCACCTCCATTTAATTAGTTCTAATTGATATGTGTCGGAATTAAGTCATTGGTAAAGGTTTTGTTGTTGTTGTTGTTTTAATGCTGATTAATTAGATCGCTGCTCCGATCTATAAACTAAAGAAAATCAAGTAAGAATACCTAAATACTCTCAGTGTTTTAAACCTCTGATTCTTCCCCTCCCACTCCCCATCTTTGCACTCTTTGCCAAGAGCCCTGGTGGTGTCTCAAAAACTCTAATCTGCCCTAAAGGCTTGCTATGAGTTGGACTTGAGTCTGTGGCAGTGAGTTTTTGTGCCCGCCCCCCATTTCCTTGCCATCTTAACCCTATCCCACAATTGCAAATCTGAATTGGAACAAATGCATTTTGGATTAGGTCACCATGCTAGGGACCTGTTTGGGTGGGTAGTGTATTGACTCATGTTCACTCCTTTGATGAGGAGTGTGTTAGGGTTCTCTAGATAAACAAGACCAGGATACTTATGATTTAGATAGATAGATAGATAGATAGATAGATAGATAGATAGATAGATAGATAGATAGATAGATGATAGATAGTATACAAAATAAATAAACAGCTAATTATTCCACAGAGCAGTACAAATGGCTCAGTTCAAATCACTTCTGTGAGACAGTTAATACATTGGCAGCCCTTCAACTCATGAGGGCTGCTGGGTGTAAGTCAAGGAAGCAGACAGCTGAGGCTTCTGTAGAGTAATATAGGCAGTCCAGCCATAGGCAGCAAACAACAGGGCAGGTCACCAACAGTCAGCCAGATGACAGGGTCCGACAGTCCCCAGCTCAAGTGATGTACACGCCAGCGGTGTGGTGAAGCAGGCCTTGAAGGAACCTCAAACTATAGCAACCCAGTCCACAGGTTGGGTGTCCCACAGGTAGAGTAGCTCACAAGTTGAGGCAGAGAACTAGCTAAGGTAGCGGCACACTGGTGCAATCATCAGAGAGCAAGAGACAGAAAGACAAAGCTTGCTGAGCCATTTATCTCTTTGCCCTTCAATTAAACTGCAACCTTATTAACCCCACATGTGTTTCTTGGCCAGGTTGGCACAATAATCCTACCTATCACAAGACGGTAGAGTGGCCAGATTCTTATTGCAGAAACTGCAAAGAGGAAGCATATATAGGACACTTCTAGATTCTTTCTACCCCCAATTAATGTGCTTATCTCCAAATAATTTCCATCCCAGGAACTGTGAAGCTTAAGAACAAGAACATTCAAATAAAGTTCTTCTGTTGTTAGGTGCCCATCAAGTCAATTTCAACACACAGCAACCCCTGTGTATAAACACTACCTGTTCCCACACCATCCTCAGAGTCCATATTATGTTTGGGCGTCTTTGCAGCCATTGTGTCTCCATCTCATTGACGGTGTTGTCTTTTTCACAGACCTCTTTTATCAAACATGATGTCCTTCTCCAGGGTCTGATCCATCTTCATATGGATCAAAATATGAGTGAAATCTCGCCATCCCTCGTTTCCAAGGATCCTTCTGGCGTTGCTGCTTCCGAGACAGATTTGTTTGTTCTCGGCCAGGCCAGGGTACACTCACTAGCCTCAATCAACACCATACTTCCAATGCAGCACTTCCTCTGCTCCTTTCCCGATCCACTGTCCAGCTTCCGCAGGCAGAGCAGGCGATTGAAAATACCATGGCTGGGGCCAGGGGCATGGTCAGTGACATCTTCGGCTGTTGACATTTTAGCGACAGTTTCTCCGGGATTGTGTAATTAAAAGAAAAGCATTCATGCACCTCTCTTCCCCAGGACAAGTTTGGCTGCCTTACTTCTGGGCTCTCACAGTACCCAGCCCCCAATCCCATTACAGCCTTCCTCATTGTTTACTTGATATTTTCACATACTGGTGCATCTGTCCATCCACCCATTCTAAAAATACTGAATACCCACCGGGTGCCAGATACTGTGCTAAGCATTGGAAAAACAACAGAATTTAAAAGACAGTGGATATTTCTCCTGCAGAGCTTTCATAGAAAATTAAGAGCTGACAGTAAGTAATATGGTGCCTTTGAAAATTAGAAAAAAGCACCTGGTTTAGGGCACGGGCAGCAACTCTTCGAATTAGAAAAAAGCTCTTGCTCCAGGGAGACTCCGACCCCTGCTAGCCATGGTGCCCAGCGTTTGGCACAGCTCTCTGGGATGTAGGACTCACATCCTCACTTAGGCAAACAAATTGACATGGAGGTTGTAAAAGTAGGTAAAGGGTCAAGAATCTATGCAATTTTATACGGTGCAGTTAAGAAAGCAGAGCAGAACCCAAACAGATTTGAGGCAGCAGATCATGAAAGTTTCCAGGAGAAGGGCATTCTAATAATAGCAAGGGCAAAAAGGGCAGTAAGAAGAGGAAAGGAATGAGAAGGATCAACACAGTATCTGGTATCAGATCTGGCAGGGCGTCAGAGGCAATTCGTCATAGATTCTTCCATCCCACCACCCCCCTGTAAAGACTGAGAAGCTGACCCACATGGAGAAGAGTGTGGCATCAGGATTGTAGGATGCCTTACTAACCTGTGACACGCAGGTGACACAACCTTGCTTGCTGAAAGGGAGCACTTGAAGCACTTGCTGATGTTCAGAGACTGCAGTCTTCCAAACGAATTGCAGTTCAGTGTAAAGCAAACCCAACTCCACATAATTGGACCAAGAGTCCACATCATGATAAACTGAAAAGATTGAAGCTCCCAAGGACTTAATTTTGCTTAGATTCACAGCCATTGCATGCTCATGGAAGCACCAGTCAAGAAATCAAAAGATGTATTGCATCGGGCAAAGAAATATGCTGCATAAGACCACTTTAAAGTGTTAAAGGATAAACATATCACTGAGGACTAAGGTGGACCTGGCTCAAGCCATGATATTGTCAGTCACCTCCTGTGGGCGGAGGTCAGATGCACAGGCATTCCTGTCCCCCCACCCCACCCCCAATCAGTTGCCAGACTGCACTGGGCCCCTGCTCCCTGCTGCTGGGGACAATGGACAGGCTCCTGTAGGCAGAGTTCACATCCTACTGATAATGGTCTCTATCAGTTGGGCCAGGAACAAGCCAAACGGGATCTGTGACATCCAAAGTTAAGCTGCCATCCTAAATCTAGGATCCGCCCATCTTGTCACATGTATACTCCCAATCCCTCCTCTTCCTATTGCATGTAAGTCCCTAGACCACCTCCTCTCATTACTGTATAACCTATAGTGGAACCCCTTCCTGTGACGTATGTCTTCACCTGTAATTAGGGGGCTTGCACGTCCCGAGAGGATAAAAGCTTGGGAAGCATTAAAGTTTCTCTCTCCCTCCATGTGGAGCACCAAGCGGGGCTGAAGTGAGCAATGCTACCATGTAACATGTCTGACTCCATTTATTTCTATATATCCTATCTCTCATGCTCTCTATAACTTGATTATAATCTTTACTTATTATCGCTGTACAATTGTACCTACCCGAATCTGTAATGATTGTGCTAGGAGCTGGTTTCTCTTGGCAACATCCTATACGTGTGAAAACTGGACAATGAATAAAGAAGACCAAAGGACAATTGATGTATTTGAGTTATGGTCTTGGTGAATATTGAAAGTCCTATGGACTGCTAGAACAAACCCACTATGCCACCAAGCCCCTGTTTGCATCCTAGGACTACTGTAACAAAATGCCACCAAGTGGGTGAGTGGGCTTACAGAGCAGAAATTTACTGTCTCATTTATAGAGACCAGCAGTCCAAATTTAGGGTGTCAACAATGCTAGGTTCTTAGTCCCCTCCTTCCGGATGTCCTAGGCATATCTTGGTGAACCTTGCCTTCTAGATGCATGTTGTATGGCTGTCTACCCATGTGTATGTGTGTGTGTATCCTCGTTTACAAAGAGCACTCAGGTTGGATTGGGACCTACCCTATTCTAGTATGAAGCCAAGTTAACTGAGTATATCTTCAAGACTATTTGCAGAGAAGTTCATGTTCACAGGTACTGGGGGTTAAGGCTTACATCTTTTTCAAGAGACACCATACAACCCATAACACCTTGTAAGGAACATATTCCCAGGTTCCAGGGCATTATTAATCTGCCTCACACCACCTTTCTATCAGCATGGGTCTTAAACATCTAGAAGTGATAAGCTGTTGTCAAGTGCTGTCAAGTCAGCTTTCATAGAGACCCTATGTACAAAAGAAGGAAACACTGCCCCATCCTCACAACTGTTACTTTTGAGCCTATTGTAGCCAGTGTCAATTCATCTTCCTCATTTCCGCTGCCCTAATTGACCAAGCAGGATATCCTTTTCCAGGGACTGGCTTCTCCAATTAACATGTCAAAAGTATGTGCTAAACACACAGTGCAGCCATCCTCCATTCTAAAGAGGATTCTGGCCGTACTTCTTCCAAGGCAGAATTGTTTGTTCTGGCGGTCCATGGAACTTTCCATCTTCGCCAACACCATATGTATCACCTCTTCGGAAGTGACACGTAAGGGGGCCTTCTCTTCTCCCAGCCGTTAGAAGTTCCCATTGCTTGGCTCTGCCCTGCTTTTCTCTCCCCTCTAGCTCATCATCTATTTGCGTCAGCAACATGGTTATTTTCAATATGTTCTTCTCGATCTCATTTTATAAGGGAATCCTTTCTGGTGTGCTGGAGCCACAATGATCGCCCCTCAGCCAGCTCATATGGACCACTTATGATGACCAGCAGTCCAGCTCATTTTTTTGACTGTTTCAAAAATAATGCCACACACATTCCCATAATGCCCGAGTTCTGTTCTGTTGAAGATGGTGAGTCTGCATGCCGCGATTCTTTTCCCAGCTCACTCTCTTCCTTAAAATTCTGCCTTCGAAGCTTTGTTCACAGAGCATCACAGGGGCTTTGCTGGATAGTGCATCTGCTGCCGTCAGCACTCAGCGTTCCAGTTAAGCCACACTGTGCTTCGACATGTTCCCCACACAGCACAGCGTGTGTTCACCTTGCAGTTACTGGGCGTAAGCTGTCAAGGCTTTGGTGCCCGAGCAAAAACTTTAAAAGGCTAACAAAATCTATGGGTGTCGCTGAACCACCAAGACCCCAACAAAGGCTCTTCTTCCGCACTCCGTGTGACAATTCAGTGTCTACTACTTCCTCCACACCCCCCCCCCCCACGCCCAGATTGTATGATGGGAGCTAGTAATAAAATTTGAAAATGATGCAAAGAATCTTCACACATGTGCAGGAAGACATTTATGTACCAGGCAGCAGCTATGGCATTTTGGTAGCAGTCAAATACCGGTTATCGAGGAACTGTCTAAATAATAGTGAGCCAGAGGGAGGAATGTACATGTACAGGCAAACAAAAATCTCCAAAATGCCCCAAGTGGAAGAAAGCATAGTTTGAAGAGAGTCTACAGTACATTTCTGTATTTAATGTGCAAAGTAAAATATGAACCCACTTGTACTTACAGGCAGACTGTCAGGGCACGCACGAGGTTCACTAAGAGTTACTACCAGAGCAGATTGGAAGGAGATGCATTTTGTTTATTTCCTTTGTCCTGAAGGAATAGACCAGTGTTTCTTAACCTGTGGAGTGCTACCCCTTTGGGAGTCAGGGTCGAACGACCCTTTCACAGGGGTTGCCTAAGACCATCGGAAGACACATAAATATTTCACAATATATAATTACATACTGCTTTGTGATGAATCACTATGCTTTAATTATGTTCAATGTGTAACAATGGAAATATACCCTGTATATCCTTTTTACATTACGATTCATAACAGTAGCAAAATTACAGTTATGAAGTACCACCGAAAATAATTTTATGGTTGAGGGTCATCCCAACATGAGGAACTATATTAAAGGATCGTGGCATCAGGAGGGTTGAGAACACTGGAATAGACTGATGTCTCACCACGAGACATTTTTTCATCCCCCCACTTTGGCTGACAAACTAACAAATCTGTGTTGGGCCAAATACAGCCAGAAAGGACGGCGACACTGTCACACATACCAATTAGGAGGGACCGGTCTCTGGAGGAGGCGATCACGCTTGGTAGAGCGTCAGTGGAAAGAGGAAGACCTTCCATGAGATGGGCCCGCACTGGCTGTAACAGTGGGCTCAAACACACTCATTGTGGGTGACAAAGGTGTTGTGCCAGCACTGTCTAGGACTCCCACGAATCAGAACCACCTAACAATCACCACGTTGACTTCCAACACATTTCTCTCATCCAGGAAGATAGTTTTGACTTTCCTGCCCAGCTGTGGGACCCCATGAATTCACCTTCTCAGGTGCACGATTGGTCCTTGTTGAAGGTTTCTTCTCAGGGTTCATCCATGTGATAGTGTAAAACAGAAATAATCTCATACACCAGGGACTAATCTTCGGTTTTCTTTTGCAGTGACCATTAAACTTTTGTTTTCAAGTAAAAGGCTCCATGTATGGTTTAGTAAAGGCTGGGGTACATGAGGGCTAGGGCCCAGGTGGTAAGAGCCATGCCAGGCGTGGAGAGGAACAGCCACAATGAAGGAAATCATCTGGCCATGTCGTATGGTGAACTGCTTAATTTCATTGTCATCTAGTGTTACAAAATCTAATTGTAGTGATCAACATAGCGCATGCGCGAGACTCACCAGCACCAGCTGGGCACCCCTAGCTGGTCGCCACTTTGAAGCCCACCCCTATGCAAGGCTGCTGAACTTGGAGCAGCCCAAGGCGCCCTCGCAGTAAACTCCTGGCAAAGCGAGATGAGCACACGGAAAATGAACACCAGAGATGCAAAATGAAACCAAGGTTTATTTTCGGCAATAACTCCTGTAAATTACAAAAACAAAAATCCTAGTCTACAGCATATAACTTTTCAATATTTCACCAGAGTACTTGTAATAAATACGCTTCCCGACGCTAGGTACAAGGCTACCACTTTGTCAGGCCTCCGCCAGAAACGTCTCCAGTTTGACTCTCCACAGCAGTGCTGTGCGGGGTGGGGTGGGGGTGGGGGGTGTGGAGGTGGGACGGGTTGGTTGGTGTTATCTGATGTGCTGTGACACACGAGTTTGTTTTGTCTGATTTCACATTTCTTTGGGGAAATTCTGAAATGGCTTTACCTAGAACGAAAGGCCTTTTTTTTAAGAAAGGGAAGACCACACTTCGGGGCCACTTTGCTTAGCTGGTGTTGGTCCCCATCGGATGGAGAGGAGCGTGCCATCCAGTACCGGCCAGCGCCCTGGGAACTCAGGCGGCCCAAGGCTGAGTGCTCTGCTCGGCCGTCGGAGCGACTTGCCCTTGTAGTCACAGACTTGGGAGAATTTGGCATTCTGTGTATCTCCCTCCATAGGATCAAAGCCATAAGGGAAACTGTGAGCAAGCTGGAAATGCTTTTATACTAAAAATAAAGGGGGCAGAGGTATTTCCCCAGGACCTTGCTAGAAGCCACAAGGGACACCATTCCAGGAGTTTGCGTTTTAAAGTTGAAAACCTGATGGGTACGAACAGTCCCTTTCCAAGAATGGGATTTATACACACCAGGAGAACGGAGGCTTTTCAAAAATATCCAGTGGGAAAGAGGAGTATCCACCAGGTTCAGATACGCCTGCAGTTCTGAGGACACGGGGAGGACTTCCCAGGGGCGCGGGCAGCAGTGCAGGCTGAGTCTGGAACGCAAACTACCTTCTGCACTATAGCTGACAAACTGGAGGGCAGGTATAGTTCTCAAGAGTCTTAAGTATGGTTACTTAAAAAATATCTTGTTAATAGAGTCTAGCAAAAATCTCACTTATTTAAGGATTCAGATAGAGGGAAAAAAATTATTATTTAAGAGCCAATAAAAACACTATATAGAGATAAAAACCAAAACACTTTTAAAAACGTGCGGTTAAAAAAAAATCCAAAAAAACGACGAGGCATTTCTTTTGGCTGTAAACACGCAGTTTACTGTAATCCCTTGCGGAAATGCCAAAGTGTTGGGATTTCCTGAGCTTCACGGATAACAGCAGGAGGCAAGTTTGCATAGAAAATTTGCAGTATGTCAACGATTGACTTCCAAAGAGAACTTTTAAGGACAATTTGCTTTTGTTTCTTAAGCTTCGTATTTTAATGAATAGTGCTGGTCCAACTGAGAAGTTTGACTAGCTGGGTGGTGAGATGTGATAAGGAAGGTGGCAGTGGGGGCGGGTGGTGTGGGGAGATGGGATTCAGGTTTTTAAGTCCAAGGATGTCACGCACCTTGGCATCAAGCACACGCCTCTTAACCAGTGTCATACTGATTTGGTTAGAGTTCAAATCATGTTTGGGGATTGGACACCAAGGGCAAAAATGGCCCAAGCCAAGTGTGGGGACTGAACTGTATTCACTGCCTGGAGCTCAACACATCACAGAGTGAAGTCACTCAGCAGGCTGGGCGCCACTGGGATGCCCACCCAGACCTCTGAGCGTGGCTCCTCCCGGCTCTGGAACCTGAAGGGCCTTCCACCCCTGCTGGCTCGGAAGTCTGGGAAGTTCTGAAGAAGGCAGACTTCTCAGGAGCTTCATCATCAGAAGCTGGGTCACAGTGCATACCGCGGGTGAGAGCAGTGGCCGTCAGTGGTTGCCAACAACTCTGGAGCCAACACAACAATGGGCAACAAGGGGGACGTGTTGTTGCTAGGAACCCCGTTACTTCTTCTGCGACTGGTTTTTACACATGGTAAGGATCTGCTTCAGTACTTTCTGAACATCTTCATCCATCTGGCCCTGAGGGATTCAAGCAACACACACTCATTAGAACCTCATGGCAGTCTCCCCTAGGGACGAAACGGCTGGATGGAAGGAAGCTGGCAACTCCCTGCCTCCCCAAACCCCGCATCTTTTAGATGTACTTAATCGTTACCGGGTGCCACTGAGTCTATGTTGACTCATGGTGACCACCCCCCCAACCCCCCAGTAACAGAGCAGAACTGATCCCCAGGGTTTTCTGGACTGAAATCTTTCTGGAGGCGGAGTGCAAAGTCTTTTTCCAGTAGAGGAACTGTGTGGGTTTGAACTGCCAACCTTTTTGTTAACAGCCTAGCATTTAACTGTTGCTCTTCATCACTGAAGGGCTCCTTAAATGAATGTTAGCTCCGTCCATTCCCACACTGCTATGAGGAACAGAATCAAAGATGGGGGTCCCCAGTTTCTCCTCTGAAGGATAATGAGGTAGAGCCTACGTAAGTGCCCGGCACAGGGTCTCTCGGTTCTTGGCTGTATATGAGAGGCCGGCTGGCCAGAGCGCTGATCACCACAGGAGAGAGGCAGTGCAGATGGCTCGGAGAGCTCCACAGAGCCTGCAGAGCAGAGCCCCGCCCGGATGGTAGCAGCAGCCACACCCTCCTCCATTTCTCAGCAATTGATGAGTCTGCTCCTGGCCAAGAAGGTATAGGAGGCTCCTGACATACAATCTAAAGCCAAGTGAAGTGTTTGTCAAAGCTTTCCAAGGAAAGAGAGTCTATTCTTCCTTCCAGTTGAATAATGGGCGTTTTGGCGATGTCTCATGCTGGGGTTCTGTAGGATTACCCAGGTACTCTACAGGATGTTGCCGTACCTGTACAGCGTACAGCAGATGCATTCTGTAAACCGATATGACCTCCTGGTGCTGTTTCTTGCATTCCTAGGAAAAGGAGATGTGACATTATTCAAGTGCTTTGGAGCCCTTTAAGCAAGCAAACCCCCCCCAAAACTATGAGGGTGGTGTGACCAAATGCTGCCAAAAGGAGCTCACGCTTTTAAGTACTGCATTGACCACTGACAAGACAACACTGTCCTGTGCTTGTCTGAACACTTAGTATTTTTAGTGGACAAAAGCCTATTTTGGATCTTAGCGTGCCACCTTGATTAAAAGAAAATTCATAATTATTATAATCTTTACATCTGCTCTAAGTATATACCGTAATACAGGGAGTCACCGATTTACAACATATTTGAATTGTAAGGAATTGTTTATACATTTTATCTCATTCATGTGCCCCTAAGCTTCTTATCGAACCTTTTGAGTTACTTTTAATAATTTGATCCCATATAATAAGATTTTAAAAGAGCACCAAGCCCACGGAAGTCTTTACTCATGAAGCTTAACTGTTGTTTGGCTCAAACAAAGCTTCAGGGTCAAAGATGACTCCAGGAGAGCGGTTTCTCAGCGGTTCATTCAGTCTCAATGGCTCCAGAAAATCTGGATTCCATGAGGACTGGAATTCCATTCCATAATTTCTTCTGACCTTGGTCAGGATCTTTCTGTTGACTCTCTGATCAAAACTCTGAGAGAAGTTCCTTTCTTTTGGGCTCATGGCAGAAAACGGCAGCTATTGCTGGGGGCAATCATCTATGCTTCTCAGTCATTCCGGACTCTTTCTCTGTTCTAAGGGAACACAGGTCAACCATACTATAGATGGCCAGTTATAAAGTTTTCAGACCCCAGAGAACAAAGTAGGGGTAACATATATTTTTAGTTAGAACAACAACAACAATCTATTCATTTAAAGATAATCACGAGAAAATTTCCCAAAGTGGGATGAAAAATTCTGCGTTTGATTCTATTTTTCCACAAACTTTTTGAACCTCCTTTATATAGCAGTTGGGGGCCATCCATCAATTTTGACACATAACGACCCCACATGACACAGGAGAACCAAAAGGTTTTGAAGGCTGTAATCTTTGTAGGAGAAGATGGCCAGGCCTTTGTCCCGTGGAGTTGCTGGGTTGGTTTTAAGTGCCAACCCTTTGGTTAGCAGCAGAACACTTAACTATTGTCCCCCAAGGCCCCTCACTACACAAAGGGCACCTTGACACTCAAGGTGGCACCTCCCATTATCTTTTAATTCCATTTCCCCACAAACTTTTTGAAGCCCTCTCATATAGTCAGTATCATATAATCCTCACGGGCTCAATAAGTTAGCTACCAGTGTTCTCAAGGAAAACAAGAGGCTGACACCCTTTGGGTGTCAGTTGGGTCCTCAGTTCACCAACTCATTCCTTTTATCTGTCCTTTCTGAGAAATGTCTCCAGTTCCTCTTGGGGACTCTTTTAAGCATCTTTATCTCTGAGCTGTCCTCATGTCTTAGCAGGACAAAAGGCAAACTGCAGAACACAATCAGGGCCACTTTTCTCTTCCATTGAGTATGACCAGCAAGAGCAGTTCAACCCAGGAACTAGCCTGGAACACTGTGGACCCAACGTATGGGAACTTGGATTCGCTGGTGCCACATCTGTACTCAAGTCAAAATCCGGGTCCTGTTTGGAAGGGGAAGCTAGAGACGACCCAGCAATGAAGACTAAGATCTTACGGTAGACTAAATAATGCCCCCGCCAAAGATGAACCGTGTGTATTCCCACAGAGGGAAAACGCACGTTGCAGACGGGATAATGTTAGAATTTTGAGATCAGGAATGAGATTATACTGGTTTTAAAAAGTCCCAAAGCAAACTCACTGCCCTTCAGTCAATGCCGACTCACAGCAGCCCTATGGGACAGAGTAGAAATGCCTCTGGGTTTGGGAGACTGTCACTTTTTAAGGGAGTAAATGGCCTCCTAGCTTTCTCCTGCAGAATGGCTGGGGTTTTGAACTGCTGACCTTGGAAGTGTACTCTCTAAATGTGATTTCTAGAGTCCTTACAGGAGAGAGGCAAGGTCAAGGGCAGAAGCAGAAGTAGACTTTATAGTGATATGCTTTAAAAATGGAAAACAGAAGAGAATATGGTGGTCTCGAGAAGCTAGAACTGGCACGGAAGCCGATCCCCCAAGACCCCCACTTGCATGGAACTTTTATAGACACTTCAGGGCTGTCCAGTGGTAATCAGTTCGCATCGTCTTAAGCCACCAAATTTGTGATGGTTACGAAAGTCATAGGAAACTAAACAGATACAAAAGGTCTTCTTGGGTTCACTAAGGAGCGGGGTGGATAACCCACCTTCCATCTCTTAACTCCCAGAGAACTTAACTTCTAATAATAGCTCTTGCTGCTGCGAGAAATGGGCTCACCGTTGCAGAAATGCAAAACACAGATTAAAGGTTGGTGGATGAGTGTGACAGTAAGCAGCCTGCAGATAAGCTACCCACTGGGGATTCCCCCATGGGTCCCCTCCTTTGACCTCACCAAAGAAACCTTCAGTTCAATGCCCACTGAAGTAGAAAGCTGGCTTAGGCCGGGGACCTTGTCCTCAACCGGTTCCGACCCAGCTGCATTGACAAGGACTGCACGAACTCCCCCAACCCCAAACCAGGCGGTGGAAAGGAGCCCACTCACGGCCAGCTGGTCCTGGAGCTGCTTGACCTGCTGCTGCAAAGCTTCCAGCTGCTGACTCTGCCTCTTGGAGGTGCTCGTTGAGTAGGAGAGCTGGGAGAGGCTGTTCAGGGCCTCCTTCAGCTTGCCGACTTCCTTGGTCATCTCATTGATCTAGCGAGAAAGGACAGCTGGATCAATAGGCAAGACCGCATCAGCTGAGTGTCAGCGGCTCTAAGCCTCACACCATCTCAATGAGCCTCTGGGTCTCAAGACTTCGGAACACTTCATTTCTTAAAACGAGAACTTGGGAAACAGGTCAGCAAGTCAAGCCAACCAATACAACCCACTTGGTTCAGATGAAGGCCCCTGAATGACATACTGTTTCAGTGCCTGAGAGGAACAGAAGCTTGATGTCGACTTCCTTCTTGAATCTCATGGAAGGGCAATCCGAAACAGGCCCGCAGGCACCCTTTCTTTGAGCAGAGAGCGCTGTGTTTTTGCCGGGACTGCTGCCATGGGCACTAGGCAGCGTGCTTCCAGAGCCTTGCTGTCTCGGGACACCTTGCTTTCAAGGGAGCACAGTCCTCCCCACTCAGGCGCTAGAGGCTCTTTTCAAGCACTCACGGTTGAAGGGACACATAGTGCTCCCACCTGAGGGATGCACGTGGTGAAGCACTCAACTGCCAGCTGAAAGCTGGGCCTGGGGCCTGGCGTCTGGAAAGGCCTTTGGACACAGCGCTCCTCTGCACACGGGGTGACCTTGCCGCGAGTCACACTCAACTGCGGGGCAAATAATCAGTGCTCTTATGACGTCCATTCCAGGGACTGGGACACGCCAGAGAGCTCCCTGCCACATTCCGTGCCACCTCTAGCTGCCGCCACCCCCCAATGCCTTTGAGAATGAGGACCAGCGAGGACACTGACTGGGCAGTGGGGGTGCCGTGGCGCTTAGAGAAGCAGTGCTAAGCCTAAGTTCTGGGTGGGCAGCAAACACTCTGCAGTTTGTGGGTTCACTTCCGATCCCCGATACGGAAAGAGCTTCTGTGAAATTGTATTTTAAGGATAAATAGGGACCAGGCGTGAAAATATTTTCTTCTAAGGGGATAGAATTTTTTCTTCCCCTCTTTTAATCCAACATACTAAGAGCACACACGATTCTTAGTGAAGCATTAGAGACAGACAGACGCATGTGCAGAGCCCCAGAGCACTGACAGCCGGTTCGTGCTAACAGACGTGGTGGTGTCGGGGGTTGCCAATCCCTCCTCAGCGTGGCCCTTTGCGTCAGAGCAGAGCTACCCTAGTGCACCGCCACGGCGCTCGACATACAAACGTGGCTGCAGTCTTTCTGGAAGCAGACTGGCAAGTCTTTTCCCCACAAAGCCACTGGGAGTGTTCTGACCGCCCGCGTCTTGGCTAGCCACTGAGGGCTTAACCGTTGTGCCACGGGGTCGCCACATGTGACAAACAAGAAAGGAAAGGTGGAAAGGCTTGGTGCTACTGGTGTGTGCTGACATGTCCCACTCCACTCGAGTTCAACCCTAGAGAACAAGAGAACTGCCCCTCGGGGCCCGAGGCTGATATCGCTATGGAAGCTGTAAACACCCTGAACCAACCAACCTTTTGGTGCGCAGCCAAGCCACTTGGGGACCACCCTGCCCCCCGGAACTCCTGGCTGGAAATCTAACAGAAGTGGAACGTCACCCACCTTCTTATCTTTCTCCTCCTCCAGCTTTGAGGAGTTCTCAGAAGATCTCTTCACCTCCACAAGCTCCTCCTGCGACTGCTGGCATCGGTGCTGCAGTTCCTGTACCTCTTGCTCTTTGGCTTTCAGGAGCGCGTGGCTGGCTTCCTTTTCCCTTTTCACCTGCGAGACTTCGCTCCGCAGGTGGGCCACCTCGGAGTGCGCCTTCTCTTTCTCCTTGGCCAAATCCTTCAGTTTGGAAGCCAGCGCGCTCACTTCGCTCTCCCGCGCCACCTGGAGCTTCTCGTAGGAGGACCTGGGCACCATGGCGTCGGTCACGGCCGCTCTCTCTTCGAGCAGCGCTTTCTCCAGCTTGGCCACCTCCACCTCCTTGCTTGCGAGGTGCTCCTGGAGACCGCCGAGCTTCCCCTCCAGCTCCTTCGCAGCCGTCCGCAGCGTGGTTACGACTTGCAGATGCTCGGCGATGGAGACGGAGTTCTCCTTCTGCGCGTCCACCAGGAGCTTGAGCTGGGCCAGCTCGGTTAGCACTTTTGCGTACTGGGCCTTCATTTCGGACAGCGCCTCCTCTGCGTGAGCCCTGGAGGCGTCGGTCACTTGCAGCAGCTTCTCATGCTCCACCTTATGGATATAGTCGGCCGTGACTTCTTCCAGAGACTTCCTCTTCCGGTAGTCCTCCAGCTCGGCCTGGGCTTCCTTGTACAGCTGCGACAGCTCGCTCACCTGCTTGTTGAGCTCGTCAATCATCCTGTTCATGGCCTCCTTCATGTCCCCAGCTTCATCGCTGGCCTCCTGGGCCACGTGACTCGTCAGCGTGTCTTTCAATTTCATGATCTCTCCTTGGGCCTCTTGGTATTTCTCAAACAAAAACGCCTTCTCCTTATTCATCTCCTCAATCACAGAGCAGTACGACGTCTTCATCTTCTCATACTCTTCCGCAGGCGGCTTGGTCGCCAGGACTCTCTCCCGCTCCTCCAGTCTCCCCTCCAGCTCCCTCACTTTCTCTTGCCGCCTTCCGCTTTCTTCTAACGCCATCTGGAGATCCCGCCTCAGCACGTCGACTTCCTCGTCGGTGATCTTGGGCTCGCGGGGGCGGGAGGAACTTCCCGAGCCCTCTGGAGAAGCCAGGCCCAGCGCCATCTGCTTCTGCACACTCAGGACCTCTTTCATGGCCTCCTCGTACTTGCTCTGCGTCTCCTTCAGCTTCTGGCTGAGGTCGGAGCCGTTCTCGGGCATCTCTGCGTTGTTGAAGCACACGGGCTCTGTCCCTCGGGACTGCAGCTCACGCTGCAGGGCTCTCTTTTCCGCTTCCGAGCTCTCCAGTTTCTTCTGCAAGTCCTGCAGCAGCTCCTGGAGCTCCTGGACTCTGCCATCGCTGCCGCCAGTGGATTTCCCCACGGACGGAGGGCGAGCAGATGGAGATGATTTGCAGTCTGGGAGAGAGGTCTCGCCCCGTTGGCCCAGGGATGGGGCCAAGTCGGTTTGAGTGGAATGGTAGGAGTCAAGGCTTAGGTCTGTGTCTGTCTCCTTGGGGGTTTTGGCCTGGGGGGAGAAATAAGAATGAAATGGCACCAGTACACAGAGCAAGCCATGCGAACCCACGGGAGGGCCACCCCCGAGACAGAGGTCTGGGAATGCAGCATGAGCCCCAGGGAGAAATACGGTCCCCTGTAGGACATGGCGGCAGATTCATGACAAAAGCTGATCCAGTAAGCGCCTCCCCACGGAGAGGGTATTTGTGCCCCTGTCATAGTAGTGGAATTCTTTTTGGCTGTAAAGCCTTTGGCTTGGGGGAAAGTTTGGAAAGATGTGTGTGTGTGTGTCCTCTTCCAAGAGGACAATAGACTGGGGCTACAAGCTGCTTCTTACCAAGTTCTTAAGTCTGCCAGTGGTCTCCCTTACTAAGCAAGTGGCGAACAGTACATGTCGCTGTAGCGGGGCTTCAAAAAGGGCCTGAACAACTGGATGAGAAGACAATGAAGACTCTACGCCCCCCCCCCCACCACGCCCTCCAAGTGGATGTGGGTGGAGACCAGGCAGGGAGGTGGGCGTATAAGTGATGCATAGATAGCCTCAGGCCTCTCTCTTTACACACACCCCCCCCCCCAGTTTCTCCAAGCTTTCCAAGGAGGGTCCAGGAGACTGTCTTATCAAAAGCTTTACTTTCACTCATAAAAGTTTAGTTTGACTTGGGGAAAAAAAAAAAAAGGGAATGGAATTTTTTTAACCTATTTTTTGATGCCCCTTAGTGTGTGAGTACACACACACACACACACACACACAGAATTTGCCCATGTGCAGAAATGGAGTTAATAAATCTCTCATAAAATAGATGATGTGAGACTAAGATGCTCAGGGTTAAATACATTAAAATTCATAACAAAAACCCAGCATCTCCACCATCCCAGAAGTTACTGTCAATACAACCCTGACGTGGGGCAACTGCACTTGTGCCCCTATGGGCCTGTGCCCCACAGTGTTTCAGACACCAACTTTTCAAAAGTAGGCAACCAGGCCATTCTTCTGAGGCACCCCCAAGTGGACTTGAACCTTCAACCTTTCAGGTGGCAGCCAAAGGTGTTAACGGTTTGTAATACATGCTTGAAACAAAACATAAGCCCTTAAAAAAGCCATCAGGTTGATTAGGCCAGTGGTTCTCAACCTGTGGGTTGCTCAATTATAACAGTAGCACAATTACGGTTATGAAGTAGCAACGAAAATAATTTTATGGTCGGGGTGGGGGGTGGGGTCACCGCAACATGAGGAAGTGTATTAAAGGGTAGCAGCATTAGGAAGGTTGCGAACCACTGCCTTAGGCTCTGTGGTAGCCATCTGTTTACTGACCTGTAATTTGTCCTGTAATTCCTTGTTGTGTAAAGTGAGGGAAGCAACTTTAGCTTGTAAGAGGGCAAGGAGGTCTTGTTGGTCGGCTTCAGAACTCACATCTAATAAGCTATCGGCACCTTGGGATACAGAAAGGCAATATATCACAGTCTAAACACGCCAGCGGTTCTATTGCTTTTCCTTCACAAAGGCACCGTCTGCCCCAAGCTAGTTCTCTGTACTCCTGACGAGCACATAGGACATCGCAGGAAGAGCCCTGAACAGCACTGTTCAGAGCCTGGGGCTTCCTCCTCTTCATGCTGCCAGCACAATACCACACACGTGGATGCACAAAAGCTGGTTCTGGAAATGGATGGATTTGGGCATACTTTTCCTGTTCACCTGATGATGGGCCTAAAACTTGGCTGTTTTTGGTTCTTCCTTCCATCCAGTAAGTCCCATTTAATTGCTCTGAATCTGCTTACCACCTGGACTCTAGTTACAAATGGCTCCCTAGCAAATTGTAGTCTGCACAGCTAAATCAGATTTTCCTTCCTAAAACAGGGTAGTTGGATCAGTCATTTGGATCAAGTGCTTTAATTTTTCTTACGAAAATAATCTCCAGTCCCTTTGGCTGGGTTAAGCCTCCGCTTATTTCGTCATTGCCATCCAATCAGTACTGACTCACAGTGACCCCCCTGTGGGTTTCTGAGACGGTAACTGTGTATGAGCGTGGAAGCCCAGTCTTTCTCCTGTGGAGCTGCTGGTGGTTTCAAACTGCCAACCATGCAGGTCACAGCCCAACACATCACTACTCCGCCACCAAGGCTCCATTAGACCTCTACACTGTGCCCCCAAATGCCTTGCCTATGTATGACGCACTGCTTCTCTATCTGTAGAGTTCCATTTACCTGACATTCAAGGTACCCATAATACTTGCTTAGGAGCCCTGGTGGTATAGTGGGTTATGTGTTGGAGTGAAACAGCAAGGTCTGCAGTTTGAATCCATCAACTGCTGCTTGGGTGAAAGAGGAAGCTTTCTGTTGCCGTAAAGATTTACAGCCTTAGAAACCCTAAGGGGCAGTTCCACTCTGCCCTACAAAGAGTCGTTAGGTGTTGGAATGAACTCGATGGCAGCTGAGTTTATCATACTTTCTATGTTGTAAACACAAGGCTAATTTTTATAATCTTTAGGCGCCCTTTCCACATCTCTCAACTTAGATTAAACCCCCCCCCCAAACTACACATGTGTTATGGATTGAGTTACGACCCCCCTACCCCAAAATGTGTTGGAATCTTAACCCTCATACCTATGGATATCTAACTGCTTGAGAATAGAGCATTTGCTATGTCAATGGGGACTTAGTTGAAGTAGTACACATAGTGTAGGGTATATCTCAAACCTCATTACATCGAGGCGGTCGAGATTAGTCAATGAAAGAAGTGCAAACTGGGGAAGACAGGTGCAACACAAATACTGCCGAGGAACGCTGGCAGCTGAGAGAAAGGGGCAAGAAACTTCTCCTAAAGCTTTTAGGGAGAGATACTTCCTTTAAAGTTGGTACCTCGAAGCCAGACTTCCAGCCTCCTGAACTGAGAGAGAATACATGTGGGTTCATTAGGCATATACTCGTTACAGCAGCACTAGCTGATTAAGACAAGATCCGTACAGACCC